CTTGGTCTTCAAGTTAGCGATAGCAAAGCTTACATCTTTTGGGACGACATCACCACGATAGAGCAGACAACAGGCCATGTACTTGCCGTGACGAGGATCGCACTTCACCATCTGATTGGCTGGTTCGAAGCAGACATTGGTGATGTCTGCTACGGTCAGTTTCTCATGGTAGGCTCGTTCGGCAGACAGGACAGGAGCACAAGTGGCAAGGGGGAAGTGAATACGTGGATAGGGCACTAAGTTGGTCTGAAACTCAGTCAGGTCGACATTGAGGGCACCATCAAAGCGAAGAGATGCAGTGATGGATGAGACAATTTGAGCAATGAGGCGGTTGAGGTTGGTGTAGGTTGGGCGCTCGATGTCAAGGTTACGGCGACAAATTTCGTAAATGGCCTCGTTGTCAACCATGAAGGCGCAATCGGAATACTCAAGGGTCGTGTGAGTGGTCAGAATGGAGTTGTAGGGCTCCACAACCGCTGTAGAGATCTGGGGAGCCGGGTAGATGGCAAACTCCAGCTTGGACTTCTTGCCATAATCAATAGCTAGACGCTCCATGAGAAGAGCAGTAAAGCCAGAGCCGGTGCCTCCACCAAAGCTGTGAAAGATGAGAAAACCCTGGAGACCTGTGCACTGGTCAGCCAACTTGCGGATTCGATTGGTGACGGTCTCTATCATTTCTTTGCCCACGGTGTAGTGACCCCTAGCGTAGTTGTTTGCGGCATCTTCCTTGCCAGTAATCAATTGCTCCGGGTGGAAGAGCTGGCGATAGATACCACCTCGGATTTCATCTGCCATTGAGAAAAGAACGAAAAACAGCAAAAAATCATCATAATCTTGAACACAGATTCTTTCATTGATGTATAAATTTGTGTTTCTTCTTGTTATTATTGCATAACTAAAAATGATTTCTAAATCTCAGAAATAAAGCATTTCAAGTGATTTTTGGGGCTCACCTATAACGGTTGGCTCGAGGTCCATCAAGATGGCGCGAGGAACACGCTTGCCTGCACAAGTCTCGCTGAAAAAGGTGTTGAAGGAGTCCTCACAACTTCCGATGGTCTTGTCACTGGGCATCTGACCATCAGGTTGGATGCCGTGCTCCAGGCAGTACAGCTCCCAGCAGGCATTGCCAATCTGGACTCCGGCCTGGCCGATGTGGATCGAGATGACTTCACGCTGACCGGGAAGGGAAAAACAAAAGGAAGGTCAAAATCGACTGGAGTGTCGAGGAGAATTTTGGTGGGGAAGCGACAGGGAAGGGGAGAGGATGGATCAAAATGACGATGACGATCTTCAAGGCGACAGATTTAGGGCCACTGTTGGTGGCCAACTTAACACTCGTAAAATTTACTGCAACATGTGATAGCGATGTGCGACATGCACTTACCAGTCTGTTTGTTTGGTCCGAGAAGATACCCCACTGGATGAATAATGTTACTAAAATGCACGAAGTTAACACTTACCATGTTTGGAGGGATGTAGTTTTACGGAGAACTCTTATTGGCAAAAAGACTCAGCGGAGCGTCGGCGCTTCTTCTCTCCGATGTTACGTCGGCGGATGAAAGTGAGCGAGTGAAGATGATTTTCCTCCAAATTATTCTCTCAATTATGTCGATTGGACCTCGTCTAATCATCACTGAGTGGTTGCCATGTCAGCCGCATCAGATCTGTCTCTTACTAGCAAATGAGGTGCGAGACTCATTTCGATAATGCACATATGGTTTTCAAACTGATTGCATGAACGTGAGCGAAGTGGTTTAGCGGGCTACTGCGGTGGGTTCACGAGTACATGTACGTTGACATAATATTTGTGACTTCCCGACTTAATCCTACAAGGGTTTGACCAAAAACTCTGTTTGAATCGCTTGAACTTTGCTGCACTGAGCGACGTAGGAAAAGTCATGTCAAATGTTGCGGATTAAAAAAATAGGAAGAATTAAAGTGACAGGATCTGTATTATAGGCAATAACCCTAACCATTCCGAACCCAACCAGTCTATGCAGCATTTCAATGATCCCTATAAGAGGTTAGGGTTATTTGTGGCTGTAAAATAGACTCCTTAAATGCACAACACCTGGAGGAGTCAGGTTGGCATAATGGTTCTTTCCTCGCCTTCCACTTCTGCGGTCCGGGTTCGAACCCCACCCGGTCCACATGTGGATTAGGTTTTCAGTTCCTACCTGATTTCGTGGGTTTGTTTTCCTCCCACCTCTAAGACTGAAACTGCTTCTCGTTGTCTCCCTCTACAGGTGTCTTCAGGCTTGCGAGTTACAGTGCCTAGGGGGCTTTTGAGGAACCCTTGGTGTCATCATCAGAAATGATTAATAATAATAGTAATAATAAAAAAACAATAATAAAAAATGACGTAATGATTCTGCTCATCTATGGAAAGCAGTCCTTCGGTCTATTTCACCTTCAGAAACCCGTTCTTGTGCATATGCATTAAAGGTTAAAGTTGGTTGGTTATTTTAGGTTAATCTTAGAAAAAATAATAAAAATAACTAAAAACAACAGAAAACGAATGAATACCAAGGCGACGAACCCATTATCCAACTCACTTATCGACCGAGTGACCCACTGTCCCGGTTGCCCACCCGCATACCCACCAAAAAAAAAAAAAAAAAAAAGAGCCCAACTAACCAGCCAACTTAACCAACTACGATTCCATCGCCATGAAACATTGATCACGCCCCCAGTCGGCGGGTGTAGTGAAAGACCGATTAAAGTAAAGTACGTCGTATACAATCCTCGTTTATTGTTTATTCATTGACGTCATTCCTGCATGCGCCCCGTAAACTTTGTCAGAAGGTAGACCTGTTTTGACGCCTCCATATATCGCAAAATCAGATAGTTAACCACAGCGCCCTCTTTCGACACGAGCTACCAAACTGCAGTCAACAGGAAGATTTGATCAAGTGCACCTGATGTTTTCTTAACTTTTCCTTGTGCTTTTAAAAAGATTTGAGTGCATTTGTGCACTAAAAATTTGAAAAACAACTTAATTTCGTTTGTGGGTCAGTTGGGGGTGTCGTTTTGGCATAAATCTACCCTATTCGGAGCAGTTATCAATGGGGGCAGACTAGTTTGATTAATATTATTTTAATACGATGCATCTTACCTTCTTACTCTAAACTGTTTTGCTTTTTAAATTTCCAATTCTCCCCAATCGCTTGATCACTCCATGTTACTTACTAATGATGCAATTAGACTGTTACAATTTAACTCCCTTGACTTATCTCGTCTCCCCCCCCCACCACCCGAACAACAACGACAAAAGCAGCAACAAACATTCGTTACACATTCTGGTTGCTGGTAATTGCTGATTCTAACAGAAGCCAGAAATTTATTCAAAACTGACAGTATTGAACATCAGCCTCTGATTTACTACGGCAGAAAAAACGCCCTCTATTGAGAAAAAGATGAGACGTTTGCATGCTGTATCTGCATACAAGTTATGGATGACAAGTCTACGGTACCGTGTTCAAAAAGTAACTTAGGCTCCTCTGTTGAGCTGAGAAGAGATACCAATCGATATGATTTCATTATGTTAGTCAGGATTTGATTCAGCTTTACACTGTGGTGAATATTATGTAATTAATGTTTATGGAGCTTGAAATATTGTAGGTTTCCTGAGCGACTGAAGAATGCGTGGAAAGAATAAGATTTCAGTAGAATTGCTGTGCTCACAGGGTGAATTTAGTACTCCTCTACCGCTTCGTCATCACCTTCCTCAATTGAATCCATCCCGACCTCCTCGTAATCCTTCTCCAAGGCGGCCAGATCCTCACGAGCCTCAGAGAACTCGCCCTCCTCCATACCCTCTCCCACGTACCAGTGGACGAAGGCACGCTTGGCGTACATCAGATCAAACTTGTGATCCAGACGAGCCCAGGCCTCTGCGATGGCCGTGGTGTTGCTCAGCATGCAGACGGCACGCTGCACCTTGGCTAGATCACCGCCAGGCACGACGGTAGGTGGCTGGTAGTTGATGCCAACCTTGAAGCCAGTCGGACACCAGTCGACGAACTGGATGGTGCGCTTGGTCTTGATGGTTGCTATGGCAGCGTTGACATCCTTGGGAACGACATCACCTCGAAAAAGCAGACAGCAGGCCATGTACTTGCCGTGACGAGGATCGCACTTCACCATCTGATTGGCCGGCTCGAAACAGGCGTTGGTGATCTCAGCAACGGTCAGCTGCTCATGGTAGGCCTTCTCGGCAGAGATGACAGGAGCGTAGGTGGCCAAAGGGAAGTGGATACGTGGGTAGGGAACCAAGTTGGTCTGGAACTCGGTCAGGTCGACATTCAGGGCACCGTCAAAGCGAAGAGATGCAGTGATGGAGGACACAATCTGACCAATCAGACGATTGAGGTTGGTATAAGTCGGACGCTCAATGTCTAGGTTGCGACGACAGATGTCGTAGATGGCCTCGTTGTCGACCATGAAGGCGCAGTCGGAGTGCTCCAGGGTGGTGTGGGTGGTCAGGATGGAGTTGTAGGGCTCCACGACCGCTGTAGAGATCTGAGGAGCCGGGTAGATGGCAAACTCCAGCTTGGACTTCTTGCCGTAGTCGACGGAGAGACGCTCCATGAGCAGAGCGGTAAAGCCAGAGCCGGTGCCTCCACCGAAGCTGTGGAAGATGAGGAAACCCTGGAGACCCGTGCACTGGTCAGCCAACTTGCGCACTCTGTCCAGCACTTGGTCAATATGCTCTTTGCCAACGGTGTAGTGACCTCTGGCGTAGTTGTTGGCGGCATCCTCTTTGCCTGTGATCAGCTGCTCCGGGTGGAAGAGCTGACGGTAGGTGCCGGTGCGAATCTCATCTGTCGATTCAAAAAGTTTGATCTCTTAAAAGCTGTCTTCATTTTGGTCAATTATCATGTGGAAACATGAATGCAAATATCAATAATTTTCAACGTATGTCTTACCGACAACGGTAGGTTCTAGATCGACAAAGATCGCACGAGGGACATGCTTGCCAGCACCAGTCTCGCTGAAAAAGGTATTGAAGGAGTCGTCACCACCTCCGATGGTCTTGTCACTGGGCATCTGACCATCAGGTTGGATGCCGTGCTCCAGGCAGTACAGCTCCCAGCATGCATTGCCCATCTGGACTCCGGCCTGACCGACGTGGACTGAGATACATTCACGCTGTAGGAAGATAAACAAACAGAAATATGGCATAAACTCCAGGATCCAGAATTTCTGAATTTTGAATTGGACCATAATAATAAAGATGATCTCGTGGCACTTTTTAGTAGAAATTATCGCTATGCAAGCCTGCAATGTGAGGACATTCAACAGTTATTAATTATATGTAAACGGGCGAACATATCAAAACTTCTAAGTGTGTGTACACACAAAAAAATAGTCTCAATGCCGACTCTGTTATCAATAGAAAAGTTGTCTTTCTTTTCCTACATTTCTATCCCTTGTCCACTGTTGTGATTGCGGCACTTTTAGGGTAGCGTTGAATTCATGATATGAAGGCAAAGTTGACTATTTCTTGGTTTTAGATTTTAAAGTTGACAAGATTTTAAGAACTGGTTAATTGACGCTAAAGCCCCCATTAATATGGAAGACACCGTTCCGTAATTGGTCTGTGATCATTGGGTTTGTGTATACCACAAGACACGTCTGAATTAATCAGTGTTTCAGATTGAGTATTAATAATTGCTGGCACCGTCACCTTTATTGAACTGCGCACGACATATAATTCTAATTTCCTGTAGGCCTAGGCCACCCCAAGACTTGGTTTTTCTGGCCATTTTTAGCAACTCGTGCAAACAAAGTGCCGAGGTCAACTTGCACTGAGAACTAGCCTATAACGATGCCCTTGTCCTCCAAGTAAGCAAATTTCATATGCTTCAACGATCAGTAAAAATCGACGCACAAAAGAATTGCTGACGCTGTTGGAGTGGTGTATGATCTAAACAGCTGCACGGATCGAACAAAGGCCACGGGCTGTAGCCGTCCTTGGGTTCCCAATCTCGGGTGTTTTCATAATTTGGGAGCCAAGTTTTCGTTGGAACCTTCGCGCCATTTCTCACAAGCTGTCAGACAATAGGACATCAGGAAACGCATGCTTTCTATTGTGTTGGACAATTTCCCACAGATTTTTAAAAAACATAAATAGGTTATGCCATCAAAAAGAGTACTTCAGTTTTCAAGTCCCATTCATTTCACACTATTCTATCCGTAGTCGAAAAGAATACTATGAAACCACAACGTGGCCATGGATAATGCACATTAGTGGACGGTAAAATGCCTATATACTAAAACCAACATTAAATTATTGTTTATGACAATCAGCTTCGATGGGGCGCTCTTTGCAGTGAATTTTTTTTGGGTTCGGTTGGGCCAAATTCCAATTACGACGGGAACTGGAAGCCACGTACACATTAGTAACTAAAACAAAAATGTGCAAAGATATTTGCATTCATAGTTAAAAGTGATATATTGGCGAAAATCATGTCTGAACGCAGTGTCATTGCAGGATAAAAATACAATTGCTAACCCAAAGTCATTCATCTTTGAATAAACCTGTAACAAGTATATAGCTTAAGCAAAAGGGAAATCCTTTGTTTCTGATTCCATTCCATGACAAAGACTTGGAGTTTTAGCTTTGATCCGACTCTTCAGATTAAGCAATGGCTAACAAGACCGGACATGACATGTGGGAACTTAATGTTTTAAATGAAAGTAAACCAGAGAAGGAACTACATAAATTTTACACAGTCGCGGGCAACATCAGGAAGTACTTGTGCAAGGTTTTAAAAGATGTCTCCAATTTACAAACTATTGATTTAATCTTTCCTCAACAACGACATGTATTTTTCGTATATTCAACGAAGAAATTCCGACATTATAACAGTGCCATTGACCCACGAGTCACAAAGGTCTGATTGAATGTGCACCTGCACCATTTTTACAAGATTGTTGGCCAACGTAACGGCTCGTCTTGGCTCACTAGATAAAACAAGGCGCGGCGTGGCCGCAGAAGATCATGAGCCACGTACGTCAAAACAACACGACATCCATTGAAGATGGTTGAACAAGACTCGCTCTGTACACATTCTCAGTACACGCATATCTAATTAGGCTATCCTGGTCAAGTTGCGCATCATAAAAACTGATCCAGCTTCTCCTTCATATTCCACTTTACCCTTATCACTCGGCAGACTTTACATGGAAATAGTACATGTAACACAACATTAGGGATGGATATTGAATATGAACAAGACGAACAGATGGAGCTTACCATGATGATGAAACTAAGTGTTACTGAGAAATTCCCGAAATATGAAAATTATTCGGTAGAAGAGACGTACGTTGCCTCCAAGGCTAGCTTACACGTCGTAGCTTCAATGGAGCGCTGCGTGCAAATGATAATGTAGTACCGCTGCATGCAAATTATATTCGCCCTCGAAAACATAAGGGCAAAGCGATTGCGCATGTTTTGCGCGTTCGGGGCCGTGATTGGCTGGATGGTTGTCCGCTCGATGGGATGCCATCCGCCATTACTAGCAACAACATCCATCTCAGGCTTCTGTGAGTAGTCTTTGCGCCATGGCCTGGAGGTAAATTAGAAGCAAATCACCAGGTTTTCAGTTTTATAATCCAGCGAGGGAGCCTGTCATCTTCTCAACTTCATTCAACTTCATTACTCGAGTCATACAAAGCCGTTATTATGACTTGTTATTATGATAAAAAAATTCTTCAACAGTGCAGTGTATTAATGATGACATTATTATAATATTTGATGAAGGGATACACCTTGGCTGTGATTTTATTACTTGAGTGACAATTTTGAATACTGTTTAGAATCTCCATGAAAATATGATTTTCTACATGCGCAAGGGACCTATGAAAACAGAAAACGAAAACGTGCAAGACCGGGGTCATTAAAAAACAAATTATTTAGCTAAAATGTATTCATATGACCTCTTGACACTCAAACGCCGAAGCTTGTAGCTGGGGTACGTACAAGGATGGTGACGTTTGGATAGATGCATACGATGGTTACCCACTAAAGTTTGTACATTATCAGGCATTGTATGCAGAATTTTATGGAAGGGTAATGCATATAAAATTACAGAAAAAGACTTGCCTTGCGGTTAGATGACGTCATCGCGTCACTGTTATGAATCAAAACAGCCGATTCTGGAATGGTATTCAGAGTGCGTGCAGGTTGTATTGTTCGCCGCGCCTACTAAGTCGGGGGGGAGCAGTTTGTGAAATAATGTGCTGTTTGTGGAATTCTGTCGGTGAAGGGTTGGCTGTTATGTTATGAAAGGGCAATGAAATTTGTATTTGCAATTCGACAGAAATTCAATTTTGTGAAAGATAACACACATAGGTAAAGTGTCTCTTATTTGTAGTGTATTTCCATTTATTTTGTGAAGGGACCTTGAACATAAACACACAACCGTCTCAACCATCTATCTTTTACAAAATGGCGGCGTCGAGGAAATACATTTACTTCGTGGTGTCTGGAATATTTCGGTTGTCCATTGAAATAAAAGTAATTAGATGATGTCTGACATTCTGTTTCCACATCTGTGGTGCTTATTTGTGTGACGTGTCAAGACTCCCAGACTAACGCTGATTAAAATCATAATTATGCCTGCGTGCATTTTGTGGAGAGATTGATGGCTTGTGTCACAGCTTTTAGTGCGTTGAACCATGAAGGCGGTGAATCAGAGCAAGTCCGACCACAGCTTGTAGTCGTTGATTCCATACGGTACTATCATCTGTGTTTTGAACGTGTAGATGAAGACATGTCAACAGTGGCAGAGATGGAGGAAACAGATGTAGAGTCACCAAGATGTGTATATTGAGATGATTTCTTGGAGATTTTGTACTGCCAGGTGTCACAATTCTTTGAGATGTTTTTATAAACTAAGTCTCACATACAACAATTATTGAACATCTGATTAAACATAATTCCGCATTTTTATGAGCAAAGAAGACGGGAATAGCGGGGTTGTTGGATTTGAGATCTTTCCGTTCAACAGACAAGCTGTACACCTTGCGTGCACATGTACAGTACAGCGATATAAGAATGGACACTCGGCAGGGGTGGAGCTAAAACGATCGGAAGGGGCGTGAAGTCCTTTAACCATGTTCGAAACTATCATAAAGGTCGCAGATAACAGACTGAGAAATTAAATGAAAGTCAATTAAACCTTTTTGTTCTGGCGTTGAATTTTTGATTGCCTGGCTTGTTAAACTAAGAAGTGTATGGCATTACCTTTTTTGCTATAGTTGCCTGGCTCGTAGAACAATGGCAGTACATGTGCGTTATCCTTACAGTGCGCTACATAAAACTGTGCTTGTTGTGCAATGGCTATGAGTAGATAAATCTTGTCCATCTTACAGTGAGGGTAAAGACCTCTCGAGGATCTCTATGGCCTAAAATTTCAACATGAAACCATATCAATAGAGACAAAATCAGCGTTTTTGAATGTAGACATAACCTGAGAATATGGGAATATAGAGTAGAAGGGCAAAAGAAACTTATATGAACGAATTAATATTGAAAGGAAGAATATTCAGGCAAATCTAGGTATGACGAGGTCATCAGGTCAATCTTAGAGGAATGACATTAATACAAATCGGAGTGGAACTGTGTGGCGATTGTTTTGTAATTAATATGCAACTCGTTCTGCGCACTTATAACATTCATCGAAAGCCACGGGACTCAAGAGCCCACAAATGTAGAATTTTAAGGCGACAGAAAGTGAAAACTGAGCGACACGATCTTGGTAATAATTGTTACCAGTATGTTTCCACGTTTTCAGAGTTCTTCTTGTGAAATTTACCACTATTTCCAAAAGTTCTTTGCTTATTTTGGGGTTTAACAGCTGAGGTGGATAATTTTTCCTTGCACAATTCCAATCTTGAATCATAAGCATTAGACTAGTTCTAATACTCCTCCGCCCCATCTTCGTCTTCGCCTTCCTCCACTGAGTCTGTTCCAACCTCCTCGTAATCCTTCTCCAAGGCTGCCAGATCCTCTCGGGCTTCAGTAAACTCGCCCTCTTCCATACCATCCCCGACGTACCAGTGGACGAAAGCACGCTTGGCGTACATCAGATCGAACTTGTGGTTCAGACGAGACCAGGCCTCAGCTACGGCAGTGGTGTTGCTTAGCATGCAGACAGCACGCTGCACCTTGGCCAGATCACCGCCAGGCACGACGGTAGGTGGCTGGTAGTTGATGCCCACCTTGAAGCCAGTTGGACACCAGTCGACGAACTGGATGGTGCGCTTGGTCTTGATGGTTGCTATGGCAGCGTTGACATCCTTGGGGACGACATCACCACGGTACAGCAGACAACAGGCCATGTACTTGCCGTGACGAGGATCGCACTTCACCATCTGATTGGCTGGCTCGAAACAGGCGTTGGTGATCTCAGCAACGGTCAGCTGCTCATGGTAGGCCTTCTCAGCAGAGATGACAGGAGCGTAGGTGGCCAAAGGGAAGTGGATACGTGGGTAGGGCACCAAGTTGGTTTGGAACTCAGTTAGGTCGACATTCAGGGCACCGTCAAAGCGAAGAGATGCAGTGATGGAGGACACAATCTGACCAATCAGACGATTGAGGTTTGTGTAAGTCGGACGTTCGATGTCTAGGTTGCGACGACAGATGTCGTAGATGGCCTCGTTGTCGACCATGAAGGCGCAGTCAGTGTGCTCCAGGGTGGTGTGGGTTGTCAAGATAGAGTTGTAGGGTTCGACTACAGCCGTCGAGATCTGAGGAGCCGGGTAGATGGCAAACTCCAGCTTGGACTTCTTGCCGTAGTCGACGGAGAGACGCTCCATGAGCAGAGCGGTAAAGCCAGAGCCGGTGCCTCCACCGAAGCTGTGGAAGATGAGGAAACCCTGGAGACCCGTGCACTGATCGGCCAGCTTTCGAAGGCGATCCATAACCACGTCAATATGTTCTTTGCCCACGGTGTAGTGACCTCTGGCGTAGTTGTTGGCGGCGTCCTCCTTACCTGTGATCAGCTGCTCAGGATGGAAGAGCTGACGGTAGGTGCCGGTGCGAATCTCATCTGGGGAAAAGAGACAAGGCTTTCTTTAATATGCAAGAACAAACAGCAGAAAATATATATTTTTGATAATGGTTAGGAATGTTAGGAATGGCATCTTTTCTTTAAACGTCTTACCGACAACGGTGGGTTCCAGATCGACGAAGACACAGCGAGGGACATGTTTACCAGCACCAGTCTCGCTGAAGAAGGTATTGAAGGAGTCGTCACCACCTCCGATGGTCTTGTCACTTGGCATCTGACCATCAGGTTGGATGCCGTGCTCCAGGCAGTACAGCTCCCAGCAGGCATTGCCCATCTGGACCCCGGCCTGGCCGACATGGACTGAGATACATTCACGCTACAAGAGACAAGTGGAATATTTTCATTTAATACTTAAAGATGTAAGATTTTTTTCTTTTTTTGAATTTAACCTGAATGTGCCTTCTGTGTCTAGTTAATAACTGCTATACCCAAGGAATGGGTGTATTTTGGAAAATGTTCTTGCACTGGCCGGGTCTTTTCATTTTTACTGTAGAGTCAGAGTTAAGGAATACGAAACTGGAGTTTACGAAAACGCAATTACACCTTAAAGCCTCATCAATCCGTGTTTTAGAACTCAAAATACTGTTGGACATTCATCTTAAAAATTACTCTTGACTTTGTAAAATGGCTCATCAAGCTGATAAATCGTCTTGTTTTGTACCGATTTATGACAGTTTTTTTACTTATTTCAACAAAGAATTCCATTTGCTTTAAACTTTTTCCACGAACATGTTTTGCCAGTTAATATTTGGTTAAAACGTTTATACTTATTGTATCCCCCCTCGACGTTCACCCTTAAAGTTTTTTCGTCTCTTTCATCATTTAGTGGGGGTTGGCATTCCTTGTTATTATTCAAACAGCCCACCCTTGGTTCGGGTGAGGACATCAACAAAGCTTTGTCGAGCAGGCTTCCAAAGGATTTAGATGTTGATTGAGCCTTTTATTCAAGAAAACACCGGGTCTTGGGGAAATGTAACAAAGGTTGGATTTTCTTCGTGGCCTTTGGGTCTAACGATGGTTTTTCTTTTATTTTGGATGAAATCGGCTGGAAAGGTGGTGGGAACCATTCCTAACATCACAGTATGGTTTCTTTGTTCATTTGGTCTTAGAAAAACAGCGGCTGGAAATTCCATGCCTGTTCATTTTGACAAGAAAAAAGACCTGTAAAAAATTGTTGTTTGCAGAAAGTGCGCGGAGAGTGTTCACCCATTCACCTGCAAAGGATTTTTTCAACGGATTGTGACGCAAACCATGAAGACGGAACGGCCGTAAACTATAATGAACCGTACAAGATGTGGGATCATTTACATGATTGTGTCCTGTGCATGGGCACTATTGCCCGTGGCAGGCTGCAAAGGCTGGGGATCGTACTCATACATTATTCAGTTTTATAAAGACGATAACATAATGTGGATAAAGTGATAGTTGATGACTATTTCTACACAGAATAAGAAATGAAAACCTTTGATGCATTGACAATACAAAAGAAAACTGCTATGAGGCTGTTTTTACTTTTTTCCTGAGTGGTTCTGGATAATAACATACACAATCAACAACTGAGATAATTATTCTAGAGTGTTTCTATCAAGGTTCCCGTCCTTCAACAACTGCAGGTGTATTCACCTTATGTTTCTTTCTTGACTTTCAGTTTTTTCAATTTCAGCGTTCTGATTTTTTTGGATTTGGAAATTGGGACATTTGAGATCAAAGTTAAAAAATTTCCATGTATCCCTTGTGACTTTTTCCTGACAAATGGGAGTGGCTCCACTGACATTGGAGGGAGTTATCTACTGTTATGATTAACAATCATAATTTTGTAATGATGACATCGGTGCCCATATGTTCATGTGATATTACTATGCTAATTAGATCTCATTACACATTCTAAAATAGCATACCAGCATTTCTCCTGTTTTTCTTCCATTATCAAATGCATGGGACATATTGACCTGATCTGATCGCAAGTTTCCAACCAGGTTCTAATAAATGCAAACTATTGAGCACAAATAACTGGTGTAAATAATTATTCTTTTCATGGAAGGACGTCCCTGTAAATTTCATTTGCAAAAGCAAAGATTCTCATTTATTTCAAGATTTAGCAGCCACATTTTACGAGAACCGGCAAAGTAGATAGTCACCTTGTCTAAGTAGATCTCCATTAATTAACAATTACAGAGGATGCATACACTTTACATTGCCTGTAAGAAGATACGTCGTACATTAATGTTGAATACACAACATAAGCCTACAGTTTAGCGAAACCGATGAACAATTTGTTCTCCGATAGAAATAAAGAACAAAATTTGATAGACCAGAAGCTTACCATATTGACAATTCTAGAAGGAAGATTCTAGGACAGTATTTAAAACTGGAATGTTTAATTAGCAGCGCTGCCTCACCCTCTTTTTACGGACACGTCGTAGCTGCGATGAAGCGTTGACTGTGAATGACGTTGAGTCAAGAGTTGCACACTGTGTGCATTAACATGTCAAGGGCGTTCCGGCCTGTGATTGGCCAATCTCTGATCGTCTGCTCAGCGACGGGATGTATAGTCCCGTATTGGCAAACCGTCATCTTAGAGGCATCTTCCTTGCATCTTGCTTTCGTCTTAAACCCTAAGGACATTGGTGGCCTCAATACAAGACGTTTTCTTTTGTTGAATTTGGAAGACAGGTCGGGTTTTAATTCTGCAAAATATGAATAATGATGAAGCCTTCAGACTACTTTTTTTTTTATATACCTTTGATAAGGTGAAGATCACAGATGCTTAGTCACAGAGAGAAACTGAATGTCTTGAGACAAATGACCCCCTGGAATCATTTTAGAAATTTAAATTTTGTGATTCTTTTTGAATTTTGATAAGCAGGTGATTTATTACAAGGTGAAACTTATTTGCATGAACCGGATGACTCATGGGCTGTGTCTTCCGTGAAGCCGACGAACAACTGCAAGCATTTTTTATGCAGGTGCTATTTTGTTGCAGTTCTGTCTCTGTTCTAACCATTTCTTTCAAAAGGCGTGTCTATATTTCATAGGTAAACAAATAACCTCATACAAAACATATTCAATGTTTTAACTAAATAGAAAGGACTGTTTGCCACTGGAAACAAGACTATTCAACCCGACAAGCGTCAATGTAATAATAATATACACGCATTCGGATCGTTGGTACTGACTCGATGAGTCATACTTTAAGCAGTAGTAGGTGACTTCAGATTTTATTCGCGGCTTTGGCAGGGAATAGCTGGTTCAATAATTGTCTGGTGCGGCCTCAAGCTTATTATGACACCGCAGACCGAATGCATTCCCCATTCTCGTAAAAAATATCTGTAGTTCCACTGCGTGGACTATTGTTGTAGAAATGCAACGCTTGAAGTCATTGTAAGCCTCTGAAAGGGATTGTAGAAGCATAATTCTTGCTCAATGTTTAACTAAAATCTTGATATGTGTACAAGCCACAACCTAATTCATATAGTCTGGACCCCGTGTAACTTTAAAACAAAATACGTATGGGCAACATGTCATAACTACGTACACTATGAAAGCAGCCTGAGTAATACAGACAGTGGAATCGACGGTTGATTGTTATGGTTTATTTGATTTACAAGATCTTTTGTCTTCTTGTGTTTTCAAACCCCTTTCTTCGAATACCAACAAAAAGTTTTTAATTAACATATTAAATAAAAGGGATGGATGTGACATGCCTTACAAATGCATTGTTGTCCTTACTCGCTTTATTCAAACTTGGACCTTAAATTTAAGTTGTCTTGAATCGTTCATACGGGTGATGAGATCACCAAACTATGACCACGGAAATAACTCTGAATGTTGCATTATTAATGCAACTGAATGTTTAATATTCCCTTCATGGACATGGAAATCAGTCGTTCCTATTATGCAGGTGATCAGATATAATCTAGATAACTGCTTCTGGACGGAAGACGTTTTCATGCCCTAAACAAATTTTTCACGGACTCACAAATCTAATCCATACGAATACTAAAGCTTCCTCATACCTTGGCTCACGTACTGGCAAATTTAAATTAGCACTAGGGTTTAGATTCTGGAATATTTTTGACCTGTTTCTTTTTCTAAATCGAGAATTTTGTCAACCCAATTTGAAATGAGATTAGGAATTTGGTTGTGAATCTGTATTGAATTCACAAGGTGCAAGGTTGAAGTCAATGGTAGTACATAAAAGGTGGTTTCATTATATTGTGTGAAGCAATAGTGATTCAGCCGTCAAGAGCTTCAAATGAAGAGGAGATTAGTATTCCTCCCCCTCTTCCTCTTGCTCTCCGTCAGCAGAATCCAACCCGACCTCCTCGTAATCCTTCTCCAAGGCTGCCAGATCCTCACGAGCCTCAGAGAACTCGCCCTCCTCCATACCCTCTCCCACGTACCAGTGGACGAAGGCACGCTTGGCGTACATCAGATCGAACTTGTGATCCAGACGAGCCCAGGCCTCGGCGATGGCTGTGGTGTTGCTCAGCATGCAGACGGCACGCTGCACCTTGGCCAGATCACCGCCAGGCACGACGGTGGGTGGCTGGTAGTTGATGCCCACCTTGAAGCCAGTTGGACACCAGTCAACGAACTGGATGGTGCGCTTGGTCTTGATGGTTGCGATGGCAGCGTTGACATCCTTAGGGACGACATCACCTCGAAAGAGTAGACAGCAGGCCATGTACTTGCCGTGACGAGGATCGCACTTCACCATCTGATTGGCTGGCTCGAAACAGGCGTTGGTGATCTCAGCAACGGTCAGCTGCTCATGGTAGGCCTTCTCAGCAGAGATGACAGGAGCGTAGGTGGCCAAAGGGAAGTGGATACGTGGGTAGGGCACCAAGTTGGTCTGGAACTCGGTCAGGTCGACATTCAGGGCACCATCAAAGCGGAGGGAGGCAGTGATGGAGGACACAATCTGACCAATCAGACGATTGAGGTTTGTGTAAGTCGGACGCTCGATGTCAAGGTTGCGACGACAGATGTCGTAGATGGCCTCGTTGTCGACCATGAAGGCGCAGTCGGAGTGCTCTAGGGTTGTGTGGGTGGTCAGGATGGAGTTGTAGGGCTCCACGACCGCTGTAGAGATCTGAGGAGCCGGGTAGATGGCAAACTCCAGCTTGGACTTCTTGCCGTAGTCGACGGAGAGACGCTCCATCAACAGGGATGTGAAGCCAGAGCCAGTGCCTCCACCGAAACTGTGGAAGATGAGGAAACCTTGGAGGCCCGTGCACTGGTCAGCCAACTTGCGGATCCTGTCAAGGACAAGATCAATGAGTTCTTTGCCAACTGTATAATGACCTCTGGCATAGTTGTTTGCGGCATCCTCCTTGTTGGTGATGAGTTGTTCAGGGTGAAAAAGTTGGCGGTAGGTGCCGGTACGGACTTCATCTGAAAGATTAAAGTAAAACATAAAAATGTTTGTTAATTTGACCAACGAATTTCATCATGTTTTTGTTGAGAATAAAACACATTCCTCATGGAACGTCATGATTGTGCATGATCTTTATAGAAACTCACCGACAACGGTAGGTTCCAGATCGACGAAGACACAGCGAGGGACATGTTTGCCCGCACCGGTCTCGCTGAAGAAGGTATTGAAGGAGTCGTCACCACCTCCGATGGTCTTGTCACTGGGCATCTGACCATCAGGTTGGATGCCGTGCTCCAGGCAGTACAGCTCCCAGCAGGCATTGCCCATCTGGACTCCGGCTTGGCCGACGTGGATAGAGATACATTCACGCTACAACATAAGAAAGACATGCATTCAGTTATCAGTCACTTTTAGTGTACAAGTGTACAACAAGCGTAAAATAAAGTGAAGATTTCCAACTCTAATAGCGCCTTACACACCCGTCTCTGCCCATATCACCATGGCAACACAATGTACATCCTTTGTCCAGCCACATCCAAGCCAATGCTCAGATTGGCGTCTAGAAAATGGAAATGGACCGTTTTATCATGAAGATGAAATGCCATAATTCGCTGACAAGATCTCGACCAGTTTGATTGTCTGAGCCATTAAATACAAGTTTATAGGTACCTATATCAAAGAAATCAGAGAAATTATTTTCAGTCAATCGAATTTCATCTCTATGATCAGTCACAGAAATATATTTGATGTAACTATTTTTGTTGAAAGTCAGCACATCCGCTTGTCCGCTATCTCATGATACCACGTCCCTGATATGTCGGGTAAAAGCACCACGAGGAGTTGTGTTCACTAAGTCTTGATTCATCAGAAATTTGATGAATGAGTCTGATTTCCCCTCAGCCAGCTTCGATGAGAAAGACAACTCACCATGATGATACAGAGCTAAGGTGTTAAGATCGAACGAGAATGCGACGGAAAGTGATGCGCTTGGACGTGTCTGAGCTTCAATGCAGCCGTACGTTCAAATGATGTTGCTGGCAACGCATCCAGTTTTTTATACCTGCGCTCCGTCGCGCGCTGCGATTGGTCAGTTCGTCGCCATCGCAATAGATTGTTGACTGACTAACCTTCAAACACTGTGCATCGTACGATAATCCATGTACGGTTGCTAGGCTTTTATGAGTTCAATAAAGAATAAATATCAATACGGCAGCCATTGTCATTTTAATTAAGGAGATCTGGACGTATCACTTGCTCTAACTGCACCAATGCGTCTGCCGAAAGGCAATTTTTTCAATCCTTTGTTGATTGCCAGTTCAAATAACTAACTGACCTCCCAGTTTGAATGGTGAACCACAACGGTCATTCATTCAGTATTTTATATTCCAAAATGGTACAAACACTCGGCTTACTGTTGTGTACAAGTGGTGTGGTACAGTATAAATCGCAGTCATTTTGCCGCCATTTTTATTAAACGAGTGCAACTGTGATGCGACTGTTGGCATGGCTACCGTTCTAAGACGGAAGTCGTAGGCAATGAGACACCTGCACATGAGTAGATCTGATTGACCCAAGTTTTAATTTATCATTAAATCACTAAAAAGGGAGATCCCTTATTTTGCACTACCCCTGCTAAGTCTCTATTTATTTTTTATTTTTTAATGTACCTTTTTAAAAGTGTTCGGTCCAAATCTCACTACTGCGAACTATAAATAGGATTTATCCCTGCATTCATTCTTCAAAAAACGTTTTGAATGATTTACTTATATTTGACAGTAACATTTCCAAGGCCTTCATCTTACTAAGACATGTAAGCAGGTCCAGAAGGTGTCAATCCTACTTTCGTTGTTGTGACTTCTGTATGAGTTTTAATCCGGTTCAACAGGAAGGCAGCATATTGCTTTGAATTTCACACGTTGTTCAAGATTCAAATCTTCAAATTCTCTCATTTTCACGAAGCAAACAACGTAACATTGCAACTTTTCGCACTGGGTAAAGATGTTTCCGGTTACTGAGATGAAAAAACTACATATAAGATCGCGAAGTATATTTTGAGGCAGTGTACATTTCATTTTTATAATTCGATTCATCGCGGGTATCCACTCCGAGCAGAACAAAAGAGAGCGTGTTTTTTGTAGTCACCGTATAGGTGCGCCATGAGGCGCGCAAGTATGCGCGTTTGACGCGGATCACGCTGAGTACGCGTAACTAAGCTGCATCCGAATCTATTGTCTAGGTCTAGGTCTTCGCTCAGTTGGAAATGTGTGGAGACGCGTAGACAATAGACCTAGCCGTAGCTCTGGAGGCCCGTTTGGGACACGGCTTATGGTCTTTGCGTATGAGCAGAACGCTTGCAAGAACCCGCTTGTAACCACCTGTCTTTCTTTCGCCGAATGGGGATGCACTTCAGCTCGGGGGGAGTGGTTGTAGTACATCGCTGTAATTATTTCTTGAATTGGTTGTAGTATTTTGCTAGCTTCTTGAACGTGAAATGTTCTTGCTTTCTACTTCGAAACGTAGATAGACAATTTCCCCAAAGTAAAGGATGTTCTCTTATATACTTCTCAGAGGGCATACAAGATGGCTTTGTTATGACTCGGATGTATCTAATGCCGTTCATAATAATAAATACCAGATGCAAGAAACCAGAGGAGTGGTTTTCCTTTTCTAAAACCACATTCATTTCGTTGACTGTAACCTCAACATGCATGTATGGAGAACGACTGCGGTGAAATTCTCCGTGAATCAAGTTGTTTTTATCCAGCCTGTCTCTAACCCATTGTTGGTATGGAAATGATTGATTGTTACAAGGCAGGTGCAACAAGGTGTATTTATCCGTTTGTGTCGTTATGGTCACGTCTAAACGGTCGTTCATACCAACCAGACAGCAACAACTGACTAGGTTGTTTGTCCCCAGTTGACGGTCTTTTGAAATGTTTTCGCAAACGCGTTTTTGTGGCATTTGTTGCTATTTCGAAAGAATTTTCGAACAAGCTATTTATGTATAAAGTTCGAGAAAACCTTGCTCAGACTGTTGGTTTGTAAAGGTCGTAAGCACTCCACAATGGCTCCCTCCAGTCAGCGATTTCAATGAGAAAGGCACGGAAACTCGTTATGAAAATGTCAGTTGGTATGTATTGGCGCCAAATATTCATCGATGCGTGCACAGCAAAGAAAATCTGATAAAAGGGAATCAATATAAGAAGAGAATATCAATTGCAGTCATCACCACCAACCTCGCCATTTGCATGTGAGTTTGCTTGGCATTTTCTATGACTGAAATGAAAGCTTAAAAAGCTATGTGTGCCGGAAGGTTTAAACTGCCTAAAACCCGGATGTGAGAGTGGTAAGTTGTCATGCGCGTTGACTTAAAGTTAATCGTTAATATTTCTGAAATACAGGGCGCCCTCCCTAGCAGTTTGTAGGGGCGGGGCATCGGGGGGAGGGTTAAGCTATTGCTCGTTTCCAAAAGGAAAAATGGTAAAGATTTAATGCTGGCAAAATGATGAGCACAACAAAACAGAATAGTTGGGGAAATCCACCAATTAAAAAAATCAGTCAACTTGTCTGATCTCAACGACTAAATTCTTACTAACGAATTCATCTGGCAATTCATACAAAACGTCGAAATTGTGTTCAAAGTACAAAAACATCACAGAAAATGGGGATTTGTCCAAGCTAGAAGAAACATTTAATGGAAAGGATCACTTTTTGCAGTTTCACCATGGTCAAATTTATTATTTCTTTCTTCCACTGTCTCGAGACATTAAATGCCAGAAAAATAAAAGCATGGGGCATTTCACAATAGTGATATAATTAAATCGTGTTTACATTGGTTCAAAAGGAATCCATATTTTGAATCGTGTATGTTCTACAATTTTTCGGACAAGCTTATGACAATGATTTCGAGGTTGATAATAATTTTTCAAAAAAATTCTGGATATTAAAAATTACTTTGGGAGAAAAGTGCACGAGAAAAACCTTGGTTCGGTGAAGTTGAAGCTTTTCAATTTCACTGCAAAAACTGGAAGTTAAATACTTTCCTTCCTTTCCCTTGTTGCAGTGTTTCTTTCAATTGCTGTATTCAATCATGGACCTATAAATTTGTGGCTGCTAAAGTTCGAAAAGATTATTCATCTAACTCATCAACGAACAATGACCACTAATAAAGACTCAAGAAATAACACTGATAATCATTATTAATTAACTCGAATTGAACTGCATTAAAAAATATTCCTCTTATAGAAATGGAATTGTTTCCTTGCTTAATTAAAATGCAGGTACGGAGATAATCCAGAAGCATGTTCCTAGAAAGAAGACACTTTTATGCCCCCAAACCAATTTCTCACTGACTGAAATGGTTAATAGGAGATTTATTCAGTCCCTTTGGATACGCTTACCCATGCGTTTGGCACGCTCTGTCACAAATTAGAGTTTAGATTCCGTATTATTTTAGACCGTATTATTTTTCCGTCAGATATCAAGAATGAGTGGGAATATTGTTTGTGCACTTTCCAGTTTTACGTAAGAGGACGCTTCATTATAAGTATTTATTTCTGGATGATAAGGAAGACAGTGGTTGAGATTCAGTCGCACTTCAGGAGTTTAGTATTCCTCTCCCTCTTCCTCTTGCTCTCCATCAACAGAATCCAACCCGACCTCCTCGTAATCCTTCTCCAAGGCTGCCAGATCCTCACGAGCCTCAGAGAACTCGCCCTCCTCCATACCCTCTCCCACGTACCAGTGGACGAAGGCACGCTTGGCGTACATCAGATCGAACTTGTGATCCAGACGAGCCCAGGCCTCGGCGATGGCTGTGGTGTTGCTCAGCATGCAGACGGCACGCTGCACCTTGGCCAGATCACCGCCAGGCACGACGGTGGGTGGCTGGTAGTTGATGCCCACCTTGAAGCCAGTTGGACACCAATCGACGAACTGGATGGTGCGCTTGGTCTTGATGGTTGCTATGGCAGCGTTGACATCCTTGGGGACAACATCACCACGGAAGAGCAGACAGCAGGCCATGTACTTGCCGTGACGAGGATCGCACTTCACCATCTGATTGGCCGGCTCAAAACAGGCGTTGGTGACTTCAGCAACGGTCAGCTGCTCATGGTAAGCCTTCTCAGCAGAGATGACAGGAGCGTAGGTGGCCAAAGGAAAGTGGATACGTGGGTAGGGAACCAAGTTGGTCTGGAACTCGGTCAGGTCGACATTGAGGGCACCATCGAAGCGCAGCGAGGCAGTGATGGAGGACACAATCTGACCAATCAGACGGTTGAGGTTGGTGTAAGTCGGACGTTCGATGTCTAGGTTGCGACGACAGATGTCGTAGATGGCCTCGTTGTCGACCATGAAGGCGCAGTCAGAGTGCTCCAGGGTGGTGTGGGTGGTCAGGATGGAGTTGTAGGGCTCCACGACCGCTGTAGAGATCTGAGGAGCCGGGTAGATGGCAAACTCCAACTTGGACTTCTTTCCATAGTCGACGGAGAGACGCTCCATCAACAGGGATGTGAAGCCAGAGCCAGTGCCTCCACCGAAGCTGTGGAAGATGAGGAACCCTTGGAGGCCCGTGCACTGGTCAGCCAACTTGCGGATCCTGTCAAGGACAAGATCAATGAGTTCTTTGCCAACTGTATAATGACCTCTGGCATAGTTGTTGGCGGCATCCTCCTTGCTGGTGATGAGTTGTTCAGGGTGGAAAAGTTGGCGGTAGGTGCCGGTACGGACTTCATCTGAAAGATTAAAGTAAAACATAAAAATGTTTGCTAATTTGACCAACGAATATCATGTTATTTTTTAGAATAAAACGCATTCTTCAGGGAATGTCCTGATTGTACATAATCTCTATAGAAACTCACCGACAACGGTAGGTTCCAGATCGACGAAGACACAGCGAGGGACATGTTTGCCAGCACCGGTCTCGCTGAAGAAGGTATTGAAGGAGTCGTCACCACCTCCGATGGTCTTGTCACTGGGCATCTGACCATCAGGTTGGATGCCGTGCTCCAGGCAGTACAGCTCCCAGCAGGCATTGCCCATCTGGACCCCGGCCTGGCCGACATGGACTGAGATACATTCACGCTGGAAAATGAGAAAGACATCCACCCTTTGTCAGTGAGTTGTGTCGTGGGTTTAGAGGGAGTCAAGCTGACGTGGTGGTTCTTTCGTCACATTCCACCTCTGCAGTCCAGGTTCGAATCCCTGTCCGGTCCGCATGTCGGTTGCTTTTCAGTCCCTACCTGGGGTTTACCCAGGTTATTCTTCTGGGGTTTTCCTCCCACCTCTAAAACTGTAACAGCTTCTCGTTGTCTCCCTCTACAGGTTTCTTCAGGCAGTTACAGTGCCTAGGGGGCTTTTGAGGAACCCTTGGTGTCATTACCGTCCAGAAAAGAATCAATAAACTACATGTATGGCAGGCGTGGAAATAAGCAAAGATTCCAAATTTTAATGGCCCATGACACACCTTCCCCTGCCCACACACCTTGATTTTAAGGAATAAGTACTTAAAAACTCTTATTTCCATGACAAGACAACATGCAACTTGTGTTTCAGCCACATCATGATTCCATCAAACAAGAAATTTTGTTCTATAAGTGAGAGATTTAATATTAGGTAAATCGAAATTCATCTCTCTAGTCAGTCTTTGATATGTGATTGATTTAATTAGTTTGTTGTTAGTGAGCACATTAATTGTACTCCCGCTCTAGCATCATATCCCTAACGTGCCTCCAAAAACACGACAGTGTCTTTCGCCAGCACCACGGGGATTTCTGATGAATGAGTCTAATTCTCCCCTCAGTCATCTTAGATTAAAAAGACAACTCACCATGATGATACAGAGCTAAGGCGTTAAGATTGAACGAGAAATGCGAAGGAAAGTGAAGCGCTTGGACGTGTCTGAGCTTCAATGCAGCCGTACGTTCAAATGATGTTGCTGGCAACGCATCCAGTTTTTTATACCTACGCTCCGTCGCGCGCTGCGATTGGTCAGTTCGTCACCATCGCAATAGATTGTTGATTGGTTAACCTTCAAACATTTTACGTTGTATGTTAATCCGTGTACGGTTGCTATGCGTTTATGACTTCAAGAATGAGTAAATTTCAGTACGGTGGCCATTGTTATCTAAATGAGATTCGTATACCACATGCTTTTCGTTTTAAACCTTTGCCAAAACTACCATTTACCGACCTTCCAGTTTGAATGGTAACCCGTTATACCTGCAACCGCTGAAGCGAAAAATCCTTTCAATCTTTGGGGACAAATGGTTCTTCATTCGTCATGTATGCCACAGTTGTACAAAGAATCAGCACACGGCTGTGTACAAGTGGTGCTGTGTAGACTCGTGTAAATCCCAGTCACTTTGCCGCCATTTTTATTTTTATTTTAACAGGTGCAAGGATGATGCAACCATTTGCATGGCTACTATGATTTGATGGACGTAATAAACAATATGAAGCACCTGCACATAAGCAGATCTGATTGATCCATGTTCTAATGCGTCATTTGACAGAGTTCTAATCTGGCTTTACGGGAAGGATTACAAACGATTCTCCCATTTCATCAAAGCACTAACAACTTCGCAACCTTCCTCATTGGGTATAGGTGCGTCTTACGACTGAGATCATACAGAAAACCCAACAGTATGTTTTGAGGAGGCGTATGAAGTTTACTTTTTGCCTTGGAATCATTACTTACATTGGTCATAATTTTAGTTTCTCCTTGAATTGTCTATTGTATTACCTCTTGCTTCTTGAACTTGAAGTAGTTTTTATCTGCTAGTTAAAAACTTATTAGATGGACAATTTTACCCTGACGTACAACATGTTTCGGTTAACTTCCAAACGGACATACAAGATGGATTTGTTATGGGTCTGCTGTCTCTAATGACTCTCATCTCCTGGCGATAAATATCAGATGCGAGAAGTCGGAGGTATAATTCCCCTTATTTGTAGACATATTGACCAAAAAGATCCTTCAGCCCAAACACACAGGTACGGCACTAGTCTTGCTGAAGTACTCTGTGAATCTAACATATATATATTTTTTTGCTTTGACATGATTGATTGCACAAGGTGTTTATCCGTTTGTGTCGTTATGCTGACGGTTGCTCTGCCAACTTGTCGTCTGTTGTTGAGTGAGCAGTAACAAACGACGGGGTTACTCGTCTGCAGTTGACGGTCTGTTGAGAGATATTGTTCTCGAGTAAAAAAGAAATGTTGAACTGGCTCTGCGAAGTTTGAGAAGACCTTGCCGTGAGAAATTTCTGATTGTCAATAGCCATTTCACAATGACTCAAATATATATTGATATGCGTGCGCTCAAAAAAGAATGTAGTAAATCTGAAATTAAAGGTACATGAGAAAATATCAATCGCAGTCATCACCAGCAATCCAGCAACCATTCGGATTTGGCTTGGTTTGGAATTTTCTATCTGTCGTCATGATGACTGATATGATAATGATGACCCCTTCAGCATCTTCTTTGCTGTAAGACAGGTGCCGACAAGCACGTCTTTTGTACCGTTTCTATGAACCCTAGATGGATGGAGAGAGGGCGCAATTTTCCTAGTGACAGAGGCTTCGTTCATTGGTCGGAACTTCACTTCGCTGATTTACGAACGACTTTAAAATGCACGCGTTACACTCGCGTCGCTGTCAGCAAAATGAACACGCCCAACCGACCTGGCTCTGTTCAACCAATGAGGGGGTGCTTCTGTCCAAGGTGGATAGACCCTGAACGGTTATGTAACATGTGAAATAGACCATTTCCATAAACTTGAACTCTGAGATCTCCTCATTAAAAATATAACTAATGCATTGATTGTCTAACTTCTTAGGTAAATTTGGTTGCAGGTTGATGGCCGTTGACCGTAGTTTTTTTTTAACGAGATTATTTCATCTTATCAACTGCTTTAATCTTGAAGAAATTCTGTTTATCTTTTTTTAGTCCTTCGAAAGAAAATACCCAGAAACTAGTTAAAGAAAGTCTGATTTGGCCATTTCTCTAAACTAAATTAGCTTGCTTGAAATGGTCAAAAAACAATAAGCAGGATTATGTGCGTGTACTAGTGTAAGAGCGTTTGTTTGTAATGAAAAAAAAATGGAGCGTCGCTTTTAGGGCGTAGTAAAGTGGAACGCATTGCATACAGACCCCTTTCATGCAGACAATCTTCTGTTTGGACAACTGTCTGGACATTATTATTCAAATACATTTGTAATGCAAATAGTGAGTTATTCAACTGACTGGATTTCACCCGTCCGTAATTACTGTGTGGTTTACTCATCTACCATAAGTCCGGGTTAGTTGCCAGCATTCCAATAACCAGAGGTTTTCATCGAGGCTGACTTGCTGTAAATGAGTCGTTTTCCTCGATTTCTCTAACTGGATTAGCTCGAAATGGTAAGTTTTATTTCTTGTCTCTGCGTGAATAAAGTGGGAATTGGCAAGAAGTGAAATATTTATCGACTGGGAAATTCAAGACGTAATCTTACTACTTGAGTGCCTATACATGTATAAGCCCCATAGCTCTTGCCAAAATCTGTAATGCAGGAATTGTAATGAGAGATTGTAAGTCGCAGAATCATCATGTCGCCGTTCGTTTAAGAATTGTAAAACAAGTCATGTTCCACAAATTTTATGGTTTTGAATTTTCTGGTGTGAATGTTGATGGCTTTTCAATGAATTGTGCAAAATGATGGCACCAAAATGTGATTCTTTGGTTTTTATTTGCCAGCGCGAATGTATCTCAGTCCATGTCGGCCAGGCCGGTGTCCAGATGGGCAATGCCTGCTGGGAGCTTTACTGCCTGGAGCACGGCATCCAACCTGATGGTCAGATGCCAAGTGACAAGACCATCGGAGGTGGTGACGACTCCTTCAATACTTTCTTCAGCGAGACGGGGGCGGGCAAGCATGTCCCTCGAGCTGTCTTTATGGATCTTGAGCCCACCGTTGTCGGTGTGTAATTCCCTGGGAATAGTTGATAAATTAATTACAATGTCTGCATAAATTATGTCTGCATTGACGCAGTCCCACGTGAGATGTAGAAATAATTGATTTTTCTGCCACATCTACCTCGGTTGAGCAGTGCATGTACTCAGGCGCCATCTTGCTGGTTGTCAACAAAGGGCAAGTTGTAAACATTTTGAGAGTATAATCCAATAATGTCTTTCTTGCTTATGACATTTTTAGAAACCGTACTTTCCTCAGAGCAAAATTTGAAGGAGTATTTCGTTATCTAAACGGAGACACTTTTTATAGTCACGACTGACATTAATCCAGTTATTAAAAAAAGACGTCGCGCCAGTATGCTGCATTGTGCAGAATGTTTGACAATGGACATCTTACATTTATCATTACATGTATGTAATTTTTGAATAATTTCAGATGAAGTCCGCACCGGCACCTACCGTCAGCTCTTCCACCCTGAGCAGTTGATCACAGGCAAGGAGGATGCCGCCAACAACTACGCCAGAGGTCACTACACTGTGGGTAAGGAACTCATCGACCAAGTATTGGACAGAATTCGCAAGCTGGCTGACCAGTGCACGGGTCTCCAGGGTTTCCTCATCTTCCACAGCTTCGGTGGAGGCACCGGCTCTGGCTTTACCGCTCTTCTCATGGAGCGTCTCTCCGTCGACTACGGCAAGAAGTCCAAGCTGGAGTTTGCCATCTACCCGGCTCCTCAAGTGTCTACTGCCGTCGTGGAGCCCTACAACTCTGTTCTGACTACCCATACCACCCTGGAGCACTCCGACTGCGCCTTCATGGTCGACAACGAGGCCATCTACGACATCTGTCGTCGCAACCTCGATATTGAGCGACCGACTTACACCAACCTCAACCGTCTAATTGGTCAGATCGTGTCCTCCATCACTGCGTCTCTCCGATTTGACGGCTCCTTGAATGTCGACTTGACCGAGTTCCAAACCAACCTCGTTCCCTACCCACGTATCCACTTCCCCTTGGCTACCTACGCTCCTGTTATCTCTGCTGAGAAGGCCTACCACGAGCAGCTGACCGTTGCTGAGATCACCAACGCCTGTTTCGAGCCGGCCAATCAGATGGTGAAGTGCGATCCTCGTCACGGCAAGTACATGGCCTGTTGTTTGCTCTTCCGTGGTGATGTCGTCCCTAAGGATGTCAACGCTGCCATCGCAACCATCAAAACCAAGCGCACTATCCAGTTTGTCGACTGGTGTCCGACTGGCTTCAAGGTGGGCATCAACTACCAGCCGCCCACCGTCGTGCCTGGCGGTGATCTAGCCAAGGTGCAGCGTGCTGTCTGCATGCTGAGCAACACCACGGCCATCGCTGAGGCCTGGGCTCGTCTAGATCACAAGTTCGATCTGATGTACGCCAAGCGTGCCTTCGTCCACTGGTACGTGGGAGAGGGTATGGAGGAGGGCGAGTTCTCTGAGGCTCGTGAAGACATGGCTGCCTTGGAGAAGGACTACGAGGAGGTTGGGATGGATTCTACTGAAGGTGGAGAAGAAGAAGAGGAATATGAGTACTGAACAAATCATTGTAATCAATTTGAAACGGCACCTCATAACATCATTGCATAAACTGTTTACATACACTGTTTACCGATATTTAACGTCAAAATGTCACTGATTTAACGACGTGAACTAAAAAATCCAGGTTAGCGAGGTGCTGAGCGTTTCCTCTTTTCAAAGACGAATAAATTGAAATTTCAAAGTCAATAATATTTTTTGTTATACTTAAAATGGGGCAGTTTATCGTTTTGTTGATGTAATCAAGCACTGTTATGAGTCGCTTGCTTCAACTTGGAGTGACAGTATCCTGTATGTACAAGAATTTTTTATCAAAACGCAGGTTCCATGGAAATCCAGTTATAGACTGAATCGACGTTTCTTAGATTTCCAAACTCGGTCTACTGAGAAGATCACTTTTAAAACATTTGAGGGCCGACTTTGGGCGGCGTATCCTTTCATGTTCAAGAGCATTTTTTTTTGTTCGTGGGTCAGCCACTCGAACCCCAGGAACTTTAAGTTGGTTACGAGAGCCCTCGCTGGTAGTAAAAAGGAAACGTGCAACGTGGTGTAGTGGTACTTTATGTACGTTATTCGATAGTTCTTTCCTATTGAAAAAAAGAAACATTCATTAATGACATGGAAAATTATCCGTTATAATTCTGCAAAACGTACCCGCTATCTCCAACTTTGTCGGTCATCTTGCTATTTTTTGCGGCTGTTCAAAAATCAAAATCTCGCGCGTTTTTCAGTGTTTACGTGAAATGAACCCGAACAAGAAGGTGGTGTGTGTGTTCCTGTTTCGAGAACAATGTCGTGGGATGGTGTTCCCACCAATCTAGTGCAAAATAAACCCATGTCAGGAACAGGCCGCATAAACGAACAAGTCCCAAATTTGATATCCCAGCTTTCATGTACAACTGAAGTCGCTGTTGCCATGATGTCAAGGAAAACAAAACGCTGTTCAGTTAATGGTGTTTTTTTGTTCAAGTTATGAATCACACAATTTATTTATTAAAACATTTCTGAGAAAGGGTTCTCCGTTGGCTTATGTATATTTACTTAAACAACGATAATTCTCAAGCGAATAGGAAAGGAAGATTAAAAAAGTAAAAAAAAAATTAAGAACAATAAAAAAAGTGGAACATTGAGCTTTTCTCCCAGGGGTGACATTTTGCTAATGAAAGTAGAAAACTGCCTTTATAACAAAAAACCTATAAAACAAAAAACAAAGCAAACAAAAAGGCGCCAAATTACCTTTAAAAATAGTAAACAAAAATTGAACGTAGGATTGACAGAAACAAGCATTTTCAGGCTAGGGTTGAAAAAAATGACGCATTTGCCCCGTATTGCTTATAACACACTCTTGTGGTGACCTTGGATGCGGTCTCTTTGATACAACCTATTGCGAAAATCTTTGCACAAGGATTGTAAGCGTTTACAGAAGCGCCCTCTTGTGGTGTATCGCAACCAGCTGACGGCATTATAAAAATAATGTGCCCAGCAAATGTGTAAATCAGCCGCAGTACGTAAAAGTGTATGCGCCTCCGTGTTCCCAAATGTTTTTAGGCCCAAAAAAAAAATCTGAATGCGTTCAGGTTAAGAACTTGATCTGAATTGCCAGGTGCGGTAAAAAAATTACTTCATATTTATGTACACAAAGTAATGGGTACATAAATACGATTGGCTTGATGGAGTAAGCTCATCGAATGGCACAGTGAATACATACGTGTAACGACGAAAATCCCTGATTTTCTGTAAAATAAATTTGTGTGGATCTTTTGGCCTTTAAAAGCAAAATTTAATAAACTTCGTCAAAACGAGGGCGCCCTCTCAAGGAAACCAGTTTGCGCAGGGCAATCTCAGGGGGATACTCAAATTACATTATTGTTCGTCCGACCCCAGAAAGAAAAAAAAGGGTGGGGGAGGGGAGTGTAACTTTTCGGTGTTGGCTAAGAATTTACTGATTTGCTTGTTCACTGTACATAAAGTGTACATTGCTCACGTGTCATTTGAGACTCCAAAACACAAGCTGAACAAAGCCATCGAAAACGTAAAAATTCAGTCCATAAATCCGATTTCCAAGACAAATTCAACTTATATGCATTGGATTCAGTCATTCACATTAACAAATCGGAAGTGAAGTCACATTATATGAAATAAAAGCATGTCTCACCTATAACACTCCTAAATAAAAATGACCACTTTTTGGCAGTTTCAAAGTTATTTTATTGTTTTCCCTTCCAACAGTTTGAATGTTTAAATATTTAACAGAAAAATAAGAACATGTTCACCACTTTAACCATGTTTCTTAAATCCTGCTTTTACATTGGTTCAACAGAAATCCAGCTTTTTGATCCATGCATGCTTCATCATGCATGTATAATTTTTACTGGTATAATTTTGGTTAATTTTTTGACAGTGATTTTAGAAGACAAAGGTAGTTAAAAGTCACTGATTTAACTAAAATCTCAGGATATCAAAAACCTCCTTTGGGGGAAATATCTGTGAAAATCTTTGGCTCGGAGTCAAAACTTTTAAAGTTCAATGGAAGGACTGTGACCGGAGACTTAGTACTCCTCTCCTTCTTCCTCTCCCTCGTTGTCGACAGAGTCGACGCCGACCTCCTCGTAATCCTTCTCCAAGGCTGCCAGATCCTCACGAGCCTCAGAGAACTCGCCCTCCTCCATACCCTCTCCCACGTACCAGTGGACGAAGGCACGCTTGGCGTACATCAGATCGAACTTGTGATCCAGACGAGCCCAGGCCTCGGCGATGGCTGTGGTGTTGCTCAGCATGCAGACGGCACGCTGCACCTTGGCCAGATCACCGCCAGGCACGACGGTGGGTGGCTGGTAGTTGATGCCCACCTTGAAGCCAGTTGGACACCAATCGACGAACTGGATGGTGCGTTTGGTCTTGATGGTTGCTATGGCTGCGTTGACATCCTTGGGGACAACATCACCACGGTAGAGCAGACAGCAGGCCATGTACTTGCCGTGACGAGGATCACACTTCACCATCTGGTTGGCTGGCTCGAAGCAGGCATTGGTGACCTCAGCAACGGTCAGCTGCTCATGGTAAGCCTTCTCAGCAGAGATGACAGGAGCGTAGGTGGCCAAGGGGAAGTGGATACGTGGGTAGGGCACCAAGTTGGTCTGGAACTCGGTCAGGTCGACATTCAAGGCACCATCAAAGCGGAGGGAGGCAGTGATGGAGGACACAATCTGACCAATCAGACGGTTGAGGTTGGTGTAAGTCGGACGCTCGATGTCAAGGTTGCGACGACAGATGTCGTAGATGGCCTCGTTGTCGACCATGAAGGCGCAGTCGGAGTGCTCCAGGGTGGTGTGGGTGGTCAGAATGGAGTTGTATGGCTCCACGACCGCTGTAGAGATCTGAGGAGCTGGGTAGATGGCAAACTCCAACTTGGACTTCTTGCCGTAGTCGACGGAGAGACGCTCCATCAACAGGGATGTGAAGCCAGAGCCGGTGCCTCCACCGAAGCTGTGGAAGATGAGGAAACCCTGCAGGCCCGTGCACTGATCAGCCAATTTGCGGATCCTGTCGAGGACAAGATCAATAAGTTCTTTGCCCACAGTGTAGTGACCCCTGGCATAGTTGTTGGCGGCATCTTCCTTGCCTGTGATCAGCTGCTCAGGATGGAAGAGCTGGCGGTAGGTGCCGGTACGAACCTCATCTGGTAACAAGACAAAAAGAAACCATTAAATACCATGAAAAATGCTCCCAATATCATAGTACTAACTTTTACAACTTGCCAAATTTACTGAATGTTCATTTAAGGCAAATTTGCAAAATCTGTTCAAATTTAAATGACACACTTTTTGTTGAACCTGGAATTATAAGAATCTTACCGACAACAGTAGGTTCAAGATCAACAAAAACGGCACGAGGGACATGCTTGCCGGCACCAGTCTCGCTGAAAAAGGTGTTGAAGGAGTCGTCACCACCTCCGATGGTCTTGTCACTTGGCATCTGACCATCAGGTTGGATGCCGTGCTCCAGGCAGTACAGCTCCCAGCAGGCATTGCCCATCTGGACTCCGGCCTGGCCGACGTGGACTGAGATACATTCACGCTGAATAAAAAACCAGACAATAAAATGATTTGGTGTTTTTTAGAACAAAAAAAAGAAAAAAAAAAAAAAAGAAAAAAAAAAAAAGAAAGATTCAACTTTGCTTTAATTTTAGATAATTACTGGCACATTATCAAGGTTACACGGTGCAAAGGGTCAATGCAACTTCATTCGCTCTTGCCAGTTTCGTTGAGCAAGTCACTGAGTGATGATTATGGGCTACAAGCAAGTAATCAAAATTTAGAATGCATTACCGTTGAGCTTGTGCGATTGCGAGGCAGCAAGAGTATAAAATATTATTCAGTCTGTCTGTAATATCAATTTTGCATGTTGATGTGTGTGTAGGCCTTGGTCTGTGATGAAAAAAATCACAAGGGACCTAGCCTATGGCCTTTACTTTTAGGCCTAGGCCTACCCAAACACTTGACCTGTTTTTATAAAATTCGAGCCTTGTCCAACATACCCCCCTAGAAAACAAAACAAAATGTGCCACAACTGAAAAAGGTCTAGAGACTGCAGAAAAATTGCATTTCGTTTCATTCAGGACAATTCAAACTCTAGCTTTGCTCAAGTTAGGCCTACTGATGCTCTTTTGTCAATTTGATAATTGCATGCACATGGTCTTGACATGCTTGAAAGACTTGACAAACTGTGTTTCAAGGCCAGGGCTACGGTGTATCTGTAAGTTAGATCCTGCAGCCTATTAAGCCTGCCTAGCAGCAAGTAGCATGCCTAGCCAATAAATAGGCCTACGTGTATTCACTTTCTCATCATGGGCCTTGGCCTAATTGCTATGCTGCAGGCAGAAATCGGTCTAGACGTGGGCCTTCACTAAAAAAAATGAGAACGAAGCCTCTCGGCTGAAACAGTTCTGGGATTTAGGCGGGCTTTCGACCCGGCACACAATAGCGATCTGCATCCAGCGATTGCGAAATGTGGTGCCACCCAGCAACCTGACCGTGCCAACCAATCAAATCGCTCCGTTCTAATCTTGAGCAAACATTGCCAACATGGCCAGCATCGCAACCGTCGTCTAGCCAAGTTCCCGCCGCAAACAAACTCAGATCCGATCCACTATTCTCTAAAAATTCACATCTTACACCCAACTTCCACACACCAAAACAGTCCTATAGGATCTACTGCATACGTACCATGTTTGCAGATTGGTTTTACGTAGCTTTGGCTGAGAAAAATGCTTCAAATCGCTTAAAAGCGGAGAGGTTTTCTGACGTGACCCGTCTTGATGTAGGGACTCGTTGAGAAATGTAATCTGAGATTCAAACACGTGACTTTTATACCCTTGCACAGGTCGCCTAGTGATTGGATGGCTGTCGTCTACGCAACCAAATATTTGTCTCGGGGTACTAGACGGTCGTTAAGAATGTGATCATGTGATCAGTCGAATGTCACCGCTATCCAATCAATTTCTTGCTTTGTTGGTTGCTGGGGGATAGCTAGGGATATTATCGATCGGACAGGGGATAACTAAAAGATAACAGGGTCGATTTTTTTTTCAAAATGCGCTGATCTACTATTAGGGCGGTTGAAAAGCTATCCACGATGAGTGTTTATGTGTCTATATTCTTCAATGTCTCAAGAAAAGGGAAGAGGATGTTTGAAACGGAACTGTTGGAATATTGCTTATTAAATTTGTGTTGGTCACTGTAAAGTGTCAATGAGGAAACTAGTTTTTAATACAGGAAGTACCATGCTCACGTTGTCAAGAATTATCAGAAAAAAATGAACCCTTCACCAGCCTATTGTACACTAAAACTCACCCCTCGTGAAAAATAGCCAATTATAGACGTTATCCCATAAAACTAAATCTGAATGTCGTAAATCTCCCAACAAAAAAACATGCAGTTGCTACAAGAAGAGTTGGCAATTTCAGTCTCCATATAAATTCATAGAGTCATCCTTGATTTGTCAACTATCCTTCGATTTTGCGGGTATTAGGCCATGCTTAGTCAATTTGTTGTTCTTTTCGGTTTGATTTTATGGAGTACCATTGTAATAGTACAATACAACTACTGAAAGGTGACCAATGCGTCTAAGTGGGTTTCATTTGAACAGTTGGAAAAGTCAAATTATGGTTTCATCTCGTGCGCGAAAATTATAACAGCCATAATGGTTCAGGGTTTACGCTCCACTTCAGCCTGTGAATGACCCATTCAGACGCCATTTATCCAGATTGTTGCCTCTGGGTCATCGGCCCGTGAAAATTTTCAAGTCACAGCACTATGAGCTGAGACGTGCTCGCATTATTTTCGCCAGGCATTGTACAGTGTACGTGCTGCACGGATGGTCGTAGATGGAGGCCTGCATGTACAGTACATGTACACATGGCATCATGGAATAGGGCCAGCGTAATGCATGGGGAGGGTCAAAGAATCACAGAGTGATGTTGTTATCGTGAAGTCACGTGTATAGCAACGGGAATTAAGAAGGAATACATATCGGCCCAGGCATGCACATTCTCACAGCAGCAAGGGTCTGTGTAGACAGTAACCCTAGGTTCAGAACTTATTTTGTTTATTTCCTCAATAATTGTGAAATTTTAAGATCTGATATTTTCGAAACCGAATTATTGAAGTGTACACGGTAGGTTATTGTCGATATGGCCATGTTGAGGGAATAAGCATAGCGATGAGGTTCCAACGTGGCCTGGTTGTCACAATGACACATACACAGTTCCCGCAGGCGCTCAAGACGAGCCGCAGTGTCAACATGGTCTGACGGTGACTCATTAAAATTAATGTTAATAGCTCACCATTTGCAATAAGTGTAAACGTTAGGAACTGAATTGTACGGCGAGTCTACGGCATCGGATTTCCGTAATATCTGAATGTTGGATATGCGTTGGATTCGGATTTTAAACAACTGAATTTCTCACACTGCATAAAATAGACCAGTAACCTGTATTACCCACCTCTGTCAATATGCAATGCTTTACTTCTGCACTGAGTCATCAGTGACGTATGTACACGACCCTTCGACTTTGTCATGGTGACCTTTGTTAAATAAGCCCTTATCCAAATACTCAGGCAGGTTAAAGCATATAGGAATAAAAAGATTTTTGGAAAATGTGTCCAATGTGTATATATGGTCTACACAGCACATCAGTGCCTAGACTGGCATAGTGTCTTTGATATTAATGTCTGTGCGAACAGAGATGCAGCAGAAATGTGATAAATGTATGGGCGGTCCCCTCCCGTTTTAAAATACTCGATGCTACCCTGGGTTATGATCGCGATAAAAAATATTTTGCAGAACAAATCATAGACAACACATTCACAATGAAATTAAAAGAGACAACACTGGCTAGAGCAATATTCTAATATTTATTCTCAGTTTGCAACCATCTAGATGTCGCAGTTGGAGGCAACTTACGCTGCAGGAGGGCATTTAAAGAAAACGAGCATAGTGTTACCGACTCCTTTTGACTGAATACTGGTAATCAATTCGGAAAGCGTGCACACTTATCTGCTTTGACAAAATACGGAGCCTCGTATTCTTTCATTGACCGCTGTGTCACCGGGTATGTGAAGATGATTTTGTCGCATAAAGGCACAGTGGGCTAAGACATAAGTACACGGTACATTATTTCGATGATAAAGACTTCTCTCTGAAGTAATCAGCTTTGAAGCTTTAAATAAACATCTTCATCGCGACTCTTAGTGCTGCATCTTTCAATAACAGGAGTAAATACTATGGTTGATATCTTCATGCGTAGTTTGAACTCGGTGAATTTGAACTGTCATAAGAGGGCGGTATTGCTTTGTGGAATACATAATTTCTTCACATGCGGTTCGCTTTCTAAGTAACAACGAATACTGATATTTTATTTTATTTGTTCGAAATTACTTGTAGAATGCAAAAGAAAATCAACGAGCGAGTTCGGTATTTCAAAACAGCAAGGTCATTTGAGAATAAAGCACGCAGGGGAGTCTACAAAAGGCGGTGCTGATTGGGCAAATCTCGTGCGTCCGAATCACCTCGGACACGGTTCAGTTTGGGCATACGCTGTTGGAATACCGAGCTGGCTTATTGAATGGGGACGCTGTATTTTTGTTCTTGCCGAAGATTCATCGGCTAGTACTCATCAGCTTCCTCTTCCTCATCTCCGTCTGAAGAGTCAAGTCCAACCTCATCGTAATCTTTCTCCAAGGCTGCCAGATCCTCACGAGCCTCAGAGAACTCACCCTCCTCCATACCCTCTCCCACGTACCAGTGGACGAAGGCACGCTTGGCGTACATCAGATCAAACTTGTGATCCAGACGAGCCCAGGCCTCAGCGATGGCTGTGGTGTTGCTCAGCATGCAGACAGCACGCTGCACCTTGGCCAGATCACCGCCAGGCACGACGGTAGGTGGCTGGTAGTTGATGCCCACCTTGAAGCCAGTTGGACACCAGTCAACGAACTGGATGGTACGCTTGGTCTTGATGGTTGCTATGGCAGCGTTGACATCCTTGGGGACGACATCACCTCGGTAAAGGAGACAACAGGCCATGTACTTGCCGTGACGAGGATCGCACTTCACCATCTGATTGGCCGGCTCGAAACAGGCGTTGGTGATCTCAGCAACGGTCAGCTGCTCATGGTAGGCCTTCTCAGCAGAGACGACAGGGGCATAAGTGGCCAAGGGGAAGTGGATACGTGGGTAGGGCACCAAGTTGGTCTGGAACTCGGTCAGGTCGACGTTCAAAGAGCCATCGAATCGAAGAGAAGCAGTGATAGACGAGACAACCTGGGCAATGAGGCGGTTGAGGTTGGTGTAAGTCGGACGCTCGATGTCGAGGTTACGACGACAGATGTCGTAGATGGCCTCATTGTCGACCATGAAGGCGCAGTCGGAGTGCTCCAGGGTGGTGTGGGTGGTCAGGATGGAGTTGTAAGGCTCCACTACGGCGGACGCTATCTGAGGAGCTGGGTAGATTGCAAACTCCAGCTTGGACTTCTTGCCGTAGTCGACGGAGAGACGCTCCATCAACAGGGATGTGAAGCCAGAGCCGGTGCCTCCACCGAAGCTGTGGAAGATGAGGAAACCCTGGAGACCCGTGCACTGGTCAGCCAACTTGCGGATCCTGTCCAGAACAAGATCAATATGCACCTTGCCCACGGTGTAGTGACCTCTGGCGTAGTTGTTGGCTGCATCCTCCTTACCAGTAATCAGCTGCTCAGGATGGAAGAGCTGGCGGTAGGCGCCGGTTCGAACCTCATCTGTCAAAGTAATTCATACAATAAATATCCAGGTTTTGTGCATTATCATAACCATTTTGGGAAAGAGCAGGTACACGAAATAAATTGAACATAAAGAGTGAGGTAATCATTGCAGCTGCTTGACTAAAGACAGCAGACAGAAGATACGGAACCAAGTCGAGGTATAAATAACTGACGGTCTTAGAAAAAATGCTGGTAGTATTGTTGCGCATGGTAACCGGATAATAGAAAATGATAAACGAGATGCCAAACGAGATGCTATTCATGAACAGAAAAAATGCTGGTAGTTTCTAATGAAACAAGATGACAAAGGCCCAAAAGGCAGAGGAACATTCAACCCTGGGATAATTAAATGGAGTAAAAGTGACGAACATTACACGTTTTGAAATTCAATTCAAAAAGTTAGCCCAGACGACTTTCAGTCGAGGACCGAGAGCTTAAGGCAATTCCTTTAGAAATAAGGATATTTTTAAACATGTAATGTGTTCCTTGATATTCGTTTGCCGATTTTTGCAACCCTAAGATGTACTATACAGTAATGCCCAAGTTCATGAATTGTATAAGTGATCCCTTTTCCTCGCATGCAATAGTAAATGGCATTGGCACGGAGAAGGATGAATCACCGCCTGCCTGCTCATGGAGAGGATCACGTGACAGGGTGAGTCATTCACAAGACGCGTCTGGATGCAGGAATGAGATGATGAGATGATGATGGTTTGGATTTCAATATCGTCTCAGTTCGTTGAATGGTGCATGAAGGTAATGACAGTATGCCTGTACTCCATGGGTAATTTAGCATCTCATTTGGCTCCATTAAGTTACCATGAATCATCATTGGTTATAGGGAAATCAAAGACTGAAACGATGGTGTGGATTTTCTTAAAATATTCCCTACAAATTCACCATTCCATGGATTATGGGTAGGGAAATCGGCGGATGGACTGGAAAGGGTTGAATGTAAGCGCTCGGAGATGAGGCTGGGTATTATACCTATGACAGTGGGTTCCAAATCGACAAAGACAGCACGAGGGACGTGCTTGCCGGCTGCTGTCTCGCTAAAGAAGGTGTTGAAAGAGTCGTCACCACCTCCGATGGTCTTGTCACTGGGCATCTGACCTTCAGGTTGGATGCCATGCTCCAGGCAGTACAGCTCCCAGCATGCATTGCCCATCTGGACTCCGGCCTGGCCGACATGGACTGAGATACATTCACGCTGGAGGTTGCAAGATTTGGGAGAATTTTAAAAATGGCAATGAGTAGAGGAGACTAGAGGCATAAGAATAAAGAAAACGTTGAGCTAGACAAAGTGAACGCCGGGAAACCAACTTCGGTCAAATCATTCATTAGCGGATTCCAAAATTCGTCACATCTTTTGAGACTTTGATAAATACCCTCGCCAAGACTAAGAATATAATAGATCCCATAATGTAAACATAATGTCATGAAATAAGAAAAATCTAAACGGTATTCCAACAAAATATTCTCGTCAAGAATAAATAGCAAGAAACAGTTACAAACTCAGTGTTCAGTATCACATCAATCCCAATATAGTTATTTTGACAAGAAAGCTTTCACAGCTATGATTAGAATTACAGAAAAACAAGAACAACTTTGGAATGACAAACTCTTTCTCAGCATACATTGTAACACGTAGCAAATTAGAACATACTTGTGTCAAGTTATTGCTCAAGAATGACAGTTGCCTTCATTTTTGCGCCAATTTGAAAGCTCTATTCTGTTATGAAACGCGAAATAGTGGAGATTCTTTGATTCGAATGTCCGAGCGAAGACGCAAAAATTTGAACCATAGAATCTTCACCTGTGCTGGTCTTAATTATGCAAATTTTGGAAAGGCGAACAACTTTTTGTTCCATTCACCATGCTGTAGAGTATGCATAGAATGTTGCAGACAGACGCGCATTTGAGTCGCAATCGTGTGCATTTATATACGCATTCTCCTCTTCACTACATCACAAGTCCAAATGGATGTACGTGTGCGTTGGTATGACAGCTACGGAAATTTGCTGTATTGACAGCAATCAGAAACTACATGTCTCAAGGGAACTGGAGATATTTTTACAATTAGAGGAAGGAGCAAGTTTGGCGGAAGGCTAATTTGCGGAACCATATAGTTCACGAACCATCTCTTCCAAGGAAGAGTACGTTCCATAAACCCTGGAATTAACTGCGCACACATTGTAGAAACCGCTCGCTCAACGTGGAAAATTATTCCGTTGGGAAATGCATGAATTTGGAATATCATCTGGGAAGTATTGATAGGTAAGTCTCTGATGATTATTCTTCTCTATAAAGTTACACACGAATTGTCATTTTTATAGACATTAATTTCTTGTTACAGGCCAGTACTAGAATAAAAGAGGAAGGGTGATATCCGGGAACTGTTTGGATAAGATTAAGCGTGAACTCAAACGCCGTGAAATTCAGTGAAGATTGTTACAGTGGGAAATTTACAAAGAAAAATGCAAAAACAAATGTTAAACATTTATGTGAAAATTTACCTATACACATATATAATAAATAAAAATAAATGAATAAAATAGATGGAAATTAAAATAAAAGGTTATTAAATAATAATGAACAAACAGAATAATAATAGCATTGAAATAAAAGGACTAATTCACTTTAAATGAAAATCTATAATCTCTACCGAACGTGAAACTGAAAATATTAGCATCGTAAATTGACAATTTCAAAAAGAACATTGAACGTTACAGAACGTCCAAAACGATGTACTTGATCATTAAGAGTGTTTCTTATAGTCTTATTTTGATAGTAATTTTAATATCACAGTTGCAATTTTTATGTCGATTAAATCAAGTTTAATCTGTGTCCTTAAAAGAGAAAGAATATACAAATATGCAATTAATTCTTTAAAAAAGTAATCGACACTTTTGATGTCACAAGAACGGTTTATGAATAGTGCTCATTTTATCACGGCGTCCATTATTACGGCGCCATATCGACAGTATGAGTCATTGCTGGGAAAAAGCAGAAGCTTTGAGTCACGTGATACTCGTAACACTTCTGGCTGACCAGCTGGTGCCTTTTCGATCTCAAAATTATTTTTCATCTTAGCAAAGATTCTGTATTATGCTTTGGCGTGGCCCCACGATATTTTTCAGAAGGTCAGTGACGCATGCGCATACCACTTCTGACAAATATCCATGTATGTCTATTCTTTGTGTATCGAGAGAACAAAGAGCGTCTTCAAATATACATGGACATGTTTATAGCAGTAGAATAAAATATATACTAACGTTTAAAACTGTGGATACCATTCAGCTGAATCCACGAAAAGTAGATGAAAGTTATGAAGTTGTAAAGAGGATTCTAACATGATCTGTACGTTAATTAAGACGCATTACGATCTATGCTGCCTATCGGCACAACTGCATTGGTGACCACGCCTGATTAGATAAATCTAATAAATGTAGAAACGACTAGCAGATGGACTCCACTGCACCATCCAGTAATAAGCAGACTCGACTGTGAATTACAGTTTATTCCATTAAGGTCGTGAGATTATACTTAGGCCACTCAGGAATGTTTTCCTGACAGCTGAAAGATATTTGATGAGCATGGGAAAACCGCGACTCTTTCTGAAACATCTGGATTCCGTTCGGAAAAAGTCCACTCTTAAGACAAATTCAGATCTTTTTTCTAAATGTCAGCAATAATATACTTGAAACAAAACACTTTACCATCCATTAAGTCAAAATGCAAAGAGCAAAACCAGTTTGGTAGTGTGTATCTTTTGTAAGAACTATTCAGATTACGAAATACCTTGAAATTAGAGAAACGGACATCAAATTTATAACAAATTATATGCTGAACACATTTCACAAAAATAACAAACTATCAAACCATGGTTAATTTTGACAGTGTCGTTGGATAGAACCTCTTGATTGTTAATTATACAAGCCGAGTATAGTACAAGATGAGAAGTTCAAATCAACACATTTCTTATTGTTTCTCCTTCATCTTGAGTGTTATCTTCGCAAACGTCTTCGCACATCGGTATACTTTCTGTACGTTTACCCTGAACAACAGCAACCCCAACGCGACATTTTCTTTGTTATGAGATTAGGCATCCATCAGCACACGACTGAATGTCCATTTTGAGCACTTAAAAATATCATTCCTCTCTTCTTTAATTGCGGATATAAGAGTGTAGTAATTGTTACCCTTTGTTCAAGTAATAAGCCACATCACCGTCTTTGCATTTTCACCGTGAGGTTTTTTTAATGGTAAAGCGGAATCAGTACTGCCGTTCATGCAGAATTCGCAGCTTCATGCTGACAGATTGGCCGAGTAATGACTAAACCCATCTGGACAAAGGAGTCGTGAGCTTGAATTCCATAATCATGCCATTACGACAGCCAGACTATATACCGGTGACCGGCCACTCCTTTGTACTAATTTGGCATCGTAATTATTGCACAATAAACAGTACAGAGATTGTTTCACCCGGTAAATCGAATAACAAGCATCTCTTGTTGTTGGACAAAGTATGTCGAATTAGCGAGCATGCTCTTATAAAAGATTATTATGAATACACGGCCATAATTACAAAATCAGTTGTCAAAATAAAAGGGAAAAGATTGTGTCATCTAACAACCAAACAAACCGAATGAATATCAATTCAGGAATCACGTTTTAGTAAAATAACAGACAAGAAAATTCTACTTACCATTTTGGAGGCTCCTGCAAGACGCGTCTGACGGAGGAATCTAGTGATAAACAAATAAATATCTCCTGCCGGCTGTAGCTATGTACGGGGCGGGAGGCACGGACTGTGACTAGCTAGCCTTGCTTGGGTCAGGCCGATTTATACTCGTCACATGCCGGTCCCGTTGACCGTGCGCAGCACGAGACGACTAGATATTTAGTATGCATAAATGCGCAGGCGGGTTGGTGAGTACTGGAACGGATGGAATGCACGGAAGGTCAAGAGAGTATGAATTATGAATTTTCTCACACCTCGTGCAGGCTCTTTTATTCTGTGAAGCAGCTTTCAGGGAGTCGAGAGAACTTGAGGAAATGTATTGTTGTCTAAAACCAAACGTAAACATGATGTTAAATATTCTGCTCATAGAGACATTGTTAATTAAGTTCGTTTGTTATTATTCTATGCAAAATTTTCATTTTGCAGTTGTTGAAAATGCAATTTTGAAAAGCACTCATGCACATATCTCTCCATCTACCTCTGAAACAGTAAATAACAATTCGTATGAAATAACGGAGCTACAAAACTTTGAAAATCAAATTCAAACATTAAATTGCTGATAAAAAATTTAATAAGGTTCTGTTCATTTTAATTTTAATCTTTGTCTTCAAAGTAATTTTGTAATAACAAAAGAATTTCATATTGCAACAAACTGGTAAGCCCTTAGAATGTGTGTATGTGGTCATTGTATTCTTCCCATTACATCAGTCATTAATCGAGGAAAATATTTCTCTGCCTAATGATATAGTCTGTTATCTGATCAGTAATCGGACTGATTATTAATCAATAAGATCAGTAAATTACCGACTGACTCGATGTATTTTTGCTATATTAACAAGGACGCCAACAATCTAAGTGTTAGACATAAACAGCTGTTAGAGGGCGTTGTTACACATCAACGTACACGAAGAAATGCGTTAAATTTTGCAGAGGAATAATTTTACAAATTAAAATAAAAGACTAAGCAATGACAGAAAGGTAAATTAAAATGAAAAACAATAACAACAGGAACCTATAAAGAGGAATTTCAAACAGTAAGAATCTTTATCATAATGTTCTAAATGTATACATGTAATTTAACATACGAAAACCGACACCCTCTTTTGTCATCAAAACAGGGTCACAGGGTAATCAAAACAAGACTGAACCTTCTATTCAGAATCACCAGTCATACAGAGTTCAATCCTATAATGGTGTTTCTGCAAACCTTCTCTTTAATGGTAACTTATTGATACGGACAAAAAAATAACCAAGAAACAGCGGCCAAAGGTGAAAAAAATAATTTGAGCCGATACACAACCCATCATTAGTATTCTTCATTTACACCCTCACTGTCCTCAGGAAGAGAGTCTGCCCCAACCTCCTCGTAATCTTTCTCTAAGGCAGCCAAGTCGTCTCGAGCCTCAGAGAACTCGCCCTCCTCCATACCCTCTCCCACGTACCAGTGGACGAAGGCACGCTTGGCGTACATCTGATCGAACTTGTGATCCAGACGAGCCCAGGCCTCGGCGATGGCCGTGGTGTTGCTCAGCATGCAGACGGCACGCTGCACCTTGGCCAAATCACCGCCAGGCACGACGGTGGGCGGCTGGTTGTTGATGCCCACCTTGAAGCCAGTTGGACACCAGTCGACGAACTGGATGGTACGCTTGGTCTTTATGGTTGTAATGGATCTACTGACATCTTTAGGGACAACATCACCACGGTAAAGCAGACAGCAGGCCATGTACTTGCCTTGACTAATATCGCACTTCACCATCTGATTGACCGGCTCAAAACAGGCGTTGGTGATCTCTCCAACGCTAAATTTTTCATGGAAGGCCTTTTCCTTGCTCACAATGGGCGCATAGGTAACAAGAGGAAAATGAATCCTTGGGTAAGGCACCAAGTTGGTCTGGAACTCATTCAGGTCAACGTTGAGGGCGCCATCAAAACGTAAAGAGGCAGTGATTGAGGACACAATCTGAGCAATTAGACGGTTGAGGTTGGAGTAAGTCGGTCGTTCGATGTTGAGGTTGCGACGGCAAATTTCATATATGGCCTCGTTGTCGACCATGAAGGCGCAGTCAGAGTGCTCCAAGGTGACATGAGTGGTTAAAATGGAGTTGTAGGGCTCTACCACGGCAGAAGACATCTGAGGAGCCGGATAGATGGAAAACTCTAGCTTGGACTTCTTGCCGTATTCAATGGAAAGACGCTCCATCAGAAGAGAAGTAAAACCAGAGCCAGTGCCTCCACCAAAGCTGTGGAAGAACAAGAACCCTTGAAGTCCACTACACATCTCCGTCTGCAATCACAGAATAAAAGAACCCCAAATCAACATCAGTCAATTTATTTCCTATTGATATTCTACTAGGCTTATTTTCTTCCCAGCATTCCAAGTGCCTATAGAGGGTTTGCATGACTGCCATCTTACAGGGCTGTGCTCTTGTTCCACAGGGTATGCACAAAGGAGGTTTCCCTGTGGAACAAAAGAACTGCCCTGCAAGATGGCTGTCACCCAAAGCGTCTATAGGCTTTAGATTGCACTCTCACCAGTTTTCGGATCCTATCTTGAACTTGGTCTATGTGGTCTTTGCCCACCGTGTAATGGCCCCGTGCGTAGTTGTTGGCGGCGTCTTCCTTGCCTGTGATCATCTGCTCAGGGTGAAAGAGCTGACGGTAGGGGCCATTGCGTACCTCATCTGGAAAAAATAGGAAGAGCGGGCAATGTGTATGAATAATCTCTGGTTGGGTATTTGGTAAAAATCATAATCTATACAGCTTTGTTTGAGGTCTTTTTGTTACCTATGACCGTGGGCTCAAGGTCGACAAAGATAGCACGGGGAACGTGTTGTCCCGCGCCAGTCTCGCTGAAGAAGGTGTTGAAGGAGTCGGTGCATTGACCATGGCTCGTGTCGCTAGGCATCTTACCATCAGGCTGGATGCCGTGCTCCAGGCAGTACAGCTCCCAGCAGGCATTGCCCATCTGGACTCCGGCCTGGCCGATGTGGACTGAGATACATTCACGCTAGAAAAATTGAAAGCGTATCTTACAGAATTCAAAAGCTTTGCTGTCGTCTTAGTCAGCTAATGTTGCTTGCGAGGCAAGCCAAAGAACGATGGATACCAGACAGCGGAGGGTTGCATGCATGGCATAAAGAATTTTCTTTCAATAGATTTGCTGATTTCTACTGGAGATGGTCTTTGACCCTTCTCATTCATCTCTTTTTATCAATTTGTAAGAAAAGCTGCCCAGAAGAACTGTTTACAAAATTCTTCACAAGAGACAAGTGAATGTAAACACTTGGGTCATAAAGGGAAACAGATAACGGAATCATCAGAGTACGTCAGCGTTCAAAATTTGCATTTTGTAATAGGAATAATTTTTATGAATACAAGTTTCATGCATTCACGATCGAGCTAAACTCTCCTTGAATGATGGCAAAATGTTTTTGTCAAATGAACCGATTTGTAGTCAACAGATGGTCTCTGTCAGGATTGTCCGGCCATGCCATCATTGCGACTGTAAACAATGGGTGTTAGTTTTCTGGGGTTTGCCTATTGTTATTTTCCCATTGTTCTACTGTTTGCGGTTTGCAATATTTAATTGTTTCTCGGGATATCAGACTGGGAGCCTGTGAAAATTGTCAATAGAAAGAATTTGTAAAATTGATCGATGCGATACTGTAACCGCGAAAACTTATCGTACAGGTGGTCTGCGCATTTAATCGAATATCCTTTCATAATTTAAACACAGACGAGTACTCAAGAAGTGGAAATGAATTCTTTCAGTGCCATGGCAATTTCTCTTACTGATTCTAACTGACTCAACTATAATAACCAAAAAATATCAACAACAATAAATAAAGCTGTTGCGCTGTAAAAGCTGAAAGCGAAACAACGATCCTAAGCCCGGAATGTATTACTATTGTTGTGATTATAAACAACGTAGAAATACACCATAGTACTGAATTGATTAACTTCAAAAATAATACGAGAGCCACCGAATTCTCTACAAACATGCAGTAATTTCATGTGCACTGTACAGAGGTGTCTGTTATTGATTCGAATTCAATTCATTCATTCCAATGATTGTTGTAACAAAGCATTCAAAGCGGCATCTTTTGGGTCACTGAGGGATCGCTCAAATCAGGAACCCTGAGTGAATGAGTCGATGCTCCACGAAGCCGAGTCTTCATGGCCCGGGTTCAACCCTGCTTGGGGTTGACACAGTCTCGGTTTCCACTCACTGCAAACCAGACAGGCCACAGAATGAGCAGGATAAAAGTGGTATTCTTAAATTTGTCAAATCCACTTTAATATCCCACTTTGATAGAAACGTTCGTACGAACTTGGTTTGACGTGGTCGTAAATATTAAGATATTTCTCAGCATCATTATTACCCACTTGCTGCTTTTCAATACCACCAAATCAAATTTATCAACAAAGAAGGGTAAACTTACCATTGTGCAGACAACTGTTGTTATTATTTCTCCGTCAAGTATTGGTTTATCAATTCCAATGTGATGGGACTACTAACCTTGACAGAGATGCACTGCCTATAAACTCATTGCCTGATCCTGGAGGAATGAACACTCGCCACGCCTAGCACCTGCTTTTGTGGTCGAGATTTTGTAACAGGTGCTTACGCTGTTAAATGATTGTTGAATCGCAGGATGCTTTTTTTCAATCAATTTTTATTGTGTTATCTGTGACTAGCCTACAAGTAGGCGTGCATTGCTTAAATTCGTTAATCGCATATTTATTTTTCCACAATATTTAAGGTCAACAGAATGTTTATGAAAACAATGCAAAAGAGTGCTGCTATTTTGATTATAACATAGGCTTGTTATATCTGAAACATAATAGCCTCATTAAATTGCCAAATTGATAACATGTTTTCAGTTAGTCACTTTCTAACAGAAGACACAAAAAGGGTCACAACAATAGCTTATGTTAAACCGTACAAGCATCGAATGAGTTTGATTTTTAAAACATTTCAACCAAACTTTTATGTATACCCTTGAAACGGGAAAAAGGGCCTTTTCCTTTCGATAGACATTGTTGATTAAAATCAAAGGACTTTTCATCAAGCTCACAAATGACATGAATAATCATTAAACTACTTCTTACACGATGTAAAAACGACCTCAAAGGCAAACTTTTTGTGAAAGTGCAGGAAAAAAATGAAAAATAAATTTAGGTTTTCTATCTAAAATTTAGTCTTCCTCCGAGACCATTCTAATCACCGATATAGAACTCCACTGCCCACCAGCGGCGTATTCAGCTTTTGGTGGGGGGGGGGAATTCAAACCAAAGGCGGCTTCGGGCTTATTAAACACGATGCTTGGGGAAAAAACATCAAAAGCTTTGCTCAAGGTCCCGACATCCTTGCTTTTATATTTCGTGGTGTTTTTACTTAGGGTTTGCCGGTAATGTTTTGATGAATAAAATACTTTTTAAATATTTGATAACAAAAAATCCGTTACGGGGGAAGATTACCCCCCCCCGCCCCCTGCTGGCTACGCCACTGCTGTCCACATTCTAAAACGCTATAAAACCTCATGAAAAGCGTAAAATAGTGGCAATAAATGCTATAGTCTATTAAAAGACCCACTTCATTATTAAACCTCCTATAAAGATAGAGGACATGCAAGCCCTCAAAATGTCCAAATGTTTTTGAAAGGATCACCCTAACTTACCACACTTCGGCGTCTTATTTAATTAAACAGTGATAGTTAATCTCATCCGTTGAAGAAGGACGGGAATGAATAACACTTCAAACAAACAAATTACTGTAACTTGGTGATCTGTACTCTCAGAATATTCATGAGTACAATTTCCCCTTAATACTCTTCCTCTTCCCCATCTCCTTCATCTACGTCTCCTGCAACCTCCTCGTAATCTTTCTCCAAGGCTGCCAGATCCTCACGAGCCTCAGAGAACTCGCCCTCCTCCATACCCTCTCCCACGTACCAGTGGACGAAGGCACGCTTGGCGTACATCAGATCGAACTTGTGATCCAGACGAGCCCAGGTCTCGGCCATGGCTATGGTGTTGCTCAGCATTAAAACCGACCGTTTCACTGAAGCCATATTGGACCCAGACAGAGGGGTAGGTACGGTTTCGTTGATAATACCCGCTTTGATTCCAACAGGAACCCAGTCTACAAACTGAACATCGGGCCTCGCTTGGACGCGAGTTACTGCAGCATTAACATCTCGTGATGTCACTTCTCCACGGTACGACAGGCTGACTGTCATAAACTTACTACGAAGGAGGTCGCATTTCACCATCTGACTGCCTGATTCCAAGCAGGATTTCGTGATTTCCCAAGCATCTAGTGCCGCCCCTTGCGCCTTACCGACCGACAGCACTGGCGCCAAGGCCGGCATGACGAAGTGCATTCTCGGGAAAGGAATCAGATTGGTCTGGAATTCGTTGAGATCAACGTTGAGCTCGCTCTCGAAGCGCAGAGACGCCGTGAGCTCGGATGAGGCCCGAGCAATTAGGTGGTTGAGGTTGAGCCGGGTTGGCTGCTCCAGGTCGAGGCGAGACTTGCAAATGTCGAAGAGGGCCTCGTTGTGGAAAGTTACCCCGACATCACAGTGATCTAGCATGAAATGCGTGTTCAAGACAGCATTGTAAGGCTCTACAAATGCTGTTCTGATTTGGGAACCCGGGAGTATTGCACAATTTATCTTGGCCTTCTTACGGTATTCTACAGAGAGACGCTCCACAAGTAGCGCAGTAAGGCCCGAACCTGTGCCGCCACCGACGCTATGGTAAATCATGAAGCCTTGCAAATTTGAGCACTCATCCGCCTGCAAAAATGACAACGCAGAAACGTAGGCTAGAAACATCCGGGTTTGTGTTTTGGTTTGATTGTACTTCTTCCTAAAGAATGCATGAGATTTGTCGGATCGAAACTTGTTCCCGGAAACGTCTGTTTGCCATTTCTTAGACATATTTGTCCAAAATACTTTTTGTTAGTCTCCATATTGCTGTTTTTGTTGACAAATCATCCAGCAATAATTCAAGAAAACGCAAGCATTTCATGTTCCCCTAACACCAAGTATAATGTCTTGTGGGGTTCTTCCAAAGATGTTATAACAAACGAAAAGACCAAACAAAACTAAAACGCCATGGTCTATAAAAACCTACCAGTTTTCTGATTCTGTCAAGAATCATGTCCACGATCTCTTTCCCGACAGTATAGTGCCCCCTAGCGAAGTTATTGGCTGCGTCCTCCTTGCCTGAGATTAACTGCTCAGAATGGAAGAGTTGACGGTATGAGCCATTTCGGATCTCACCTGGTAAAGCAAGACGAGTACATTAAGGAATTGACATTGGTTCGTCACTTTGCACAGTCTAGTGACGGTATCCAACTGATACTCCACTTTTTCAGGGACCGTATCCACCAGTATTTCAGGAACGTTAACATACCAACTTTTTGGGTGGGGGAGGGGTTGAGTTGGATAATCATTTTGGGAAGAAAGTCTGTTTTGCTCCCCACCCGGATACGACTTCTTTGTGCATTTCTTTGGATACTTCCGTGCTGTGTAGTACTGGCCAGCGATGAGATCAGTTGTGCAAGATCTTTCAATACGCATCATCTCACATCTGCTCCCTCTGCTTCCCTAAAATGTACATTAGATTTTACAACTGGCGACACATCATATGACCCATTTGAAATATTTAATGAGATAGGAGAGCACTGTTTGGTCTGGGTTCACTCCTTGCTATTGACTTCAATTATTGTCTCTTGATATTAGAAAAAAATGCTAGATGCGAAATGGCAGACATAGAACACCGTACATTAAAGTAAGCGTCTTTTACCCGAAAGGGATTTTGAAAACAGCAAGAGGGCCGGCCGAGACTCATGGTGCTACTGCCAGCAGCGAATTTCCTAAAAATAAAGAAAATGGTTGCAATCCTACCGATATAGGTGGGCTCCAGATCTATGAACACAGCCCTGGGAATGGCCTTGCCGGACTCAGTCTCGTGGAAGAAGGTTCCAGTGGAATCACTGGGTTGTTCCTCGTGATAGGGATTGATTGTACCGTCAGGCAGGAGTCCATGCTCCAAACAGTACAACTCCCAGGTTTTGCTGCCGACTCGTACCCCGGCCTGACCAACGTGGAGAGAGATAACTTCGCGAGGCTAAATCATGGACGAAACCAAATCAATTACAGTTAAAAGGAAAATCACGCATTGGCAACATGAGGCTGGATTGGTTACGATGGGAGCATTTCCTTAGTTTGATTGCAAAGCAGTTAATTCACCACATATGATTTTAAATATTGCGGCTCGTTTAACACTGAACAGGAACGAAGTGTACAAAGAATCGAAAGATGGTCAAAAGATTTCACTAAATAGGTCCAAACAGCTTTCAAAATCTAAATCTGGCTTCTTTAGTTGAACACGTATCGAGATTACAGTCATGCACATGGGTTAACTTTGGGCCATTTTTTACATGTATGTTATCATTTCTTCTAAAAGACAATTAATTAAAGTTAAAGACAATTAATTTCAATTTCCCTTCTTTTCAGAGCATTGTGATACTCATCTAAACTTCGATGCTGAATAAAAAGGAATTTCAAAATTCATTGGTGTCTTAGGGCTTAAAAAAGGGTGACCAAAGTTACCCTGGGTTTGGGGCAACATTGGCCACGTTTTGTTCTTGGTCTTCATCAAAATGGAGCATGAAAACCGAAATCAAATTGGTTACCATGGTTACCACAAATAACGAAAATGTTAAATACTGAATAACTATGATATTTCTAAATAAAATGATACTAAATACGTCCGCATCCACTGTGGGTTTGAGAGAATAACAACGTTTCAAACCCTCTAGTGGTTAGTGACCGAAGTTACCCCTCTGACCAAAGTTACCCCATGTTACAGTAGGCTACGCAGTGCGTTAATGGGATTACCATCGTTAGAACCAAGTCTAAAGTTGTAATTGTAATGACAATGAACTTGTCACCTTTAAATATTGGGTTATGTTCAAACAGGGACGTTGAGCTGTTATGTTGGGGCGAAAAATGGTGGTGAAAATTAGAGAGGAACTTGATATTTATCCTCTTGTTGAAAATGTCCGTCTTTAAAATTAAAATCAAAGCAATTGAGAGCCGAAGAAAGAGAAATGAAAAAGAAATCGAAGGAAAAAAATTCCCCCAAATGCAATCGGGTGATTTAACCACAAATCCATCGATAGGATTATGTGAAAATTAAAAGAAGAAATACGAAACACTTCCACGATTGGTGGAAACATTTTATCTTCTCTTACCATGACCGATAGGTGATTGAATGAATACTTGCTCCTGCAAAATGTGCAACGATTTACGGACCGTGGAGTACACGAAGAACGCCCAACATCGAACACTCACTTGAACTGGTTGCTGTCCTCTCTATACTTTGTGGTATACTTGTATTATTCCGACACTTAAAATGACATCTGAATTCTTTATTAATTTATGCCAGACATTAAAATAGACATAAACTGCTGAGTATAAAACGAAGGACAGGATATTCCATAAAGTGACCCTCAGTCTGTTCGTCCAATGTTAATTAACTAATACATTAATAAATAAATAGTTCGATACATAAGAGAGTACATAAATGATTCATGAAAATATTACCTACAGTCATTTCTTCCTGGGTCCTATGGTGTCTTTGCCCGTTGCTGGGATAAAAAAAATTGTACACAGGATGCCTAGACTGGCATAAACTGTATTCCCAGATTGGAACAAAATTTGAGAACACAGAACCAGAGGAAAAAAGACTCAACACAAATCTCAGTCATCATGCACTGCCGGTGAGTAGCGAATGTGACACAACGCCCAAATAGGAATCTAATCTTACCCAAGAACCGAGAAATATACCACTCATTATGTACTAAGATTTAATGACATGCTTCCCAACATGTAAATCCTAGCTGGGCGAATAGAAGGCTAAGAACTAATGTATTTCCCCATCTGAGAATTGAATACCTTCACTGTGGCTAGAGACTGGTTTATAATTATGTATATCAACTACATATCATCAGCTAGAGACTGATTAATATGTCAACTATTGAAATATATATGAGTATTTAAGGAAGATAAAGATATTTTGTAATCAATGTCATTGTGACATGAATTACAAAATAGCCAACAGTATTTTATACTGTTCCACTCTTTGGGTTAATCACTTGCAGATTACAACCAAAAGGGGGCGCTTCCTATATCAACAAAAACAGTGTCCATGCATCCAAATGTCACGACCTGTTGAATATTTCCATTGGGTGGGAATTAAATTGAGCATAATTCTGTTTACGCAGGTAGGTCACGTGACGGCCATTACACAGATGGTATGGATGGAGAGAAATACATATATGTATACCATTTCTTTAAAAATGATCAGTCATTTCCAACTGAAAACATTTACTTTTTATTGAAATGCAGCTCAGCTGAACTTACATCCTTTCATACAAATCAACATTTGACGTTGCAAAGGAAAATAGATTTTGTCAACTTATCATGATTATTGATGCGAGAATCTTCTCATGTACCATGAACGATTCATAAAAAATGACCACAAGTAAACATGCAATAGGCGGTTAAGTTGTAATTGGCAAACTCGTGTCAAGGTGGAGGATTCTCATTGGTGGTCACAGAAGTATTAATTTTTTGGTTTCAGTATTTACTTTCATTACGCTAGACTGGCGAAGAAATGAACTGTCATGCAGGCTATGAGAGAAATGACCATAGATGGGTTTTGTACCTGACGAGCTGTGTGGCTCCTAAACTTCTTAGCATCTATTCATTCTCTATAGGGAATTAGTAGAGAGAAAGAGAGAGATCTGACCGATCTCCAACACTGTAACTCTTACTAAATGCGAATGTGAGAATAAACTATAATATCCGTCACGGTTTCAGCGTCTCGATAAAGAGACAGTCCATCATCGACTTTATGCGTAAACTTCTTGTCGCTGTCAGAGCTATTTGTAGTAGGACCACAAGGGGCTCGGGGTGTGAGTTCAATTTCAAAAGGTTGTATGATTTTTTTTCATAGAGGTGGTTCTTCACTTTCCTCGTTTTCCACAGGTACACATATATTGAAACATTGAACCCTTTCGTAGCATGGACATTGCCATTTCCAGTTTGATAACAGTTCAGTCTGTTTATTAATTGAGAGTCAAATTTGGAAAATTGCCAATGGAGATAATTTTCAAATCAAAAATTGGCAAGACCCTCAACCTTTAAAACAGTCAAAGATTTAAATGAGTAAAGTTGGTCTTTTGAATGCGGTTCACTGGAATTTGACGATCATTACATGTATTTATTCTGGTATAAGCCCACATTGAGACCTTGGCTTATTGTCTTTCACTAGTACTGTATTTGGTCCAACTCTCCCAGGTCACTCCAGACATCACCTTCCTGTTTGACTTCCTCGTAGTCCTTCTCTAAAAATGCCATATTGTCACGAGCTTCGAAGAACTCGCCCTCCTCCATACCCTCTCCCACGTACCAGTGGACGAAGGCACGCTTGGCGTACATCAGATCGAACTTGTGATCCAGACGAGCCCAGGCCTCTGCGATGGCCGTGGTGTTGCTCAGCATGCAGACGGCACGCTGCACCTTGGCCAGATCACCGCCAGGCACGACGGTGGGTGGCTGGTAGTTGATGCCCACCTTGAAGCCAGTCGGACACCAGTCGACGAACTGAATGCTTTGTTTATTCTTAATTTTCAGTATGGCAGCGGTAACATCTTTAGGCAGGACATCACCACGGTACAACACGCAGCAAGCCATGTACTTGCCATTACGTGGGTCGCATTTCACCATCTGATTTGCAGGCTCAAAGCAGGCGTTGGTGATCTCGGCAACAGTCAGCTGCTCGTGGTAGGCCTTCTCAACAGAGATGACAGGAGCATAGGTGGCCAAAGGGAAGTGGATCCGTGGGTAAGGCACCAGGTTGGTCTGAAACTCGGCCAAGTCGACATTAAGAGAGCCATCGAACCTCAGAGATGCTGTTATAGAGGATACAACCTGAGCAATCAACCGGTTCACGTTTGAAAACGTCTGCTTCTCTAAATCCAAGTTTTTCTCACAAATGTCGTAAATGGCTTCGTTGTCAACCATGAAGCAGCAGTCGGCGTGTTCTAAAGTGGAGTGAGCGTTCAGGACAGAGTTGTAGGGTTCAACGACAGCGGAGGAGATATTCGGCGATGGGTAGACGGCAAATTCCAGCTTGGGTTTCTTGCCGTAGTCGACAGTAAGACGCTCCATCAACAGGGATGTGAAGCCAGAGCCAGTGCCTCCACCGAAGCTATGGAAGATGAGGAAACCCTGGAGACCTGTGCACTGGTCAGCTAACTTGCGGATCCTGTCAAGGACAAGATCAACATACACTTCACCTAAGGTGTAATGGCCCCGTGCGTAGTTGTTGGCGGCATCCTCCTTGCCTGTGATCAGCTGCTCAGGGTGGAAGAGCTGGCGGTAGGTGCCGGTGCGAACCTCATCTGTAAATAAACATTTGAAACTTAATAAATCTGTTTGATCTAGAACGGCTCTACACTGCAAGAACTTTTTTAAAATCACGTGCCATCCTACCTATGACTGTGGGCTCTAGATCGACCATGACAGCTCGAGGGTTATAATGTCCACTGCTGGTCTCGCTGAAGAAAGTATTGAATGAGTCATCATCTTCCCCGCGTGTCTTGTCACTCGGCATCTGACCATCAGGTTGGATGCCGTGCTCCAGGCAGTAAAGCTCCCAGCATGCGTTGCCCACTTGAACCCCCGCCTGCCCAACATGAACCGAAAGAACTTCACGCTGGCGGAGATAAAAACACGTTCTTTAAAATTGAAATCAGACAGCTTCATTGGATTGGTACATCCTTTTTATCGATTTAGAAGAGAACAGCACTTTAATATGTCAGTAAACTGGTAAAATTTCTAAATTGCTTAAAAGCTGCTGTCGACAAAATTAGAAAAAATACAGTATGGTAAAAATATGACAATCGAACAAGCAATTAGAATTCAAATTACATTTACAATAAGTTGAAGTACCTTACATCATAATTGTCTGATTTGAAAAATCCTTTTGACATTCTCCATTTGTGAATAAAAAGAAATCACTGCTTGTGTTCCACTTCATATAAGTCAGTAGAGATGACCCCTTCTGGCCAAATTTAATTCACGCGTGCCCGTCTCTTTTTATAACGGATACAGGTAGCACAAAGAATTAGCAGTTGGCCCAGTAAAATGCCAATATTCGCGTTGATTGAATCATACAATTAGAAAACAAGATACAATGGTTCCTACCGAAAAAGAAAGTAGTTTTTAGCGCAAATTCCCTGTTCGGTTTACTGCGTTGTTGGTAGTCAGCATTCCTGACACGCAACGAGGGGGAAACATCACCTCCCACGCCACGCCCCCAACAACAGGTACAACATGGAAGGCTACTCTGTATATCATGTCAAAGTTCTTCCTGTTTGTTAGCCTTCTACACAAGCCTTCAAGTTTGAATTCATGAGACTATACTACTTTTTTATCACCTTAAAGTCCAAATAATTTGTCCTGTTGGGATGGGAAGGCCAGCCACGCTGGAGGACAGTATGGCAATGGCTCGTCTTCATATTGATCTTTCAAAGAAAACTAACCCTGCGGTGTTTCGTAGCCTTTCTTTATTACGTTCGTTCCTGTAACATTGTACATGTATTTCAATGATTCCATCTAACAAATATGGGCCTAGTCTTCTGTGTGAAGAAAACATACTCCGAGAAGGCATCACAGAACGCGTATTGGTTAAAACTAGACATTTTAAAATCTAACAAAAGCTATCTCTGCAAAATGCGCAATGTCACTGAAAAGGGTAGCGTCTATCAAACGTGAACTGGATCTAACACAAGCGATAATCAATAAATAACATATTTCTTTTTGACTTACCATTATGTGGTGACAGGAGTGTTGCAATGACTTTCTTGCCGATGTGGGAGAGGTTTACAAGATATTTATCTGCATTCAGTGCCCACGGTTACTGGAGCACGTCTTGAACAGCAAAGAAGTGGCCGATAACATTCCTGTCCAGGATCAACCTGCTATAAGGACGGATGCACGCACTGGCAAATCGCAATCAGGTAAGCGAAAATAAAATGCCTTCATTTGTTCCCATATACTATGCAGACGAACTTGAAGCCAAAAACACAATGTTATTGTTCAGCCATAACGCAGTTCCCATTGTACCGACTACAGTGCGGCCGATGGACCTTTTCCATTTAGTTTGCATGGTTTGTGGGATCGTTTTTTTGCGAACAACATGCCTCCCGTATATCTACAAATTCAGTGGTGTCTCAGGTACGTGCCATTCGTGACACAAAGGGGCGAATCTGGACAATTCGATGGTGACTCAAAAAGCCCCAAATTGCACGAGTATTGCGGAACGAGCATGTCATAAATAATCAACGAATGCAACTCTCAAGGTCTCTGTGGTTGAGCTCACAAATATGGCGTTGTTGTACGTGGTAAATTGTCGAGGGCAACTTTAAAACACTATGCACTATTAACTGGATGGTTATTGGTTTGTGCAGATAATTGTGTAGGCCTAAGGTTCCAGGTACTAGACTAGACTTTAATTAGTCAGGTCATCCTATCCTGTGTATTCTACGTCATCAGAGCGGGGCTACAAAAATAGAAATGGGCTGCGATTGTCTTTTCCCAGTCCTTTCATTTTATCTAATAAAATGAACGCAGTTTCACAACGATGAACTGACGAGACATCATTCCTGATTGGTTTTATTTCTTAAATTTGTCCTTGATTTAAAAATTACCGAAGAAAGCTTTCTGTAAAATACCTTGCTGATATTCTGCTTTGCGTACCTTTAAATTAATTAAGTCAACTAATATTAAATGAAAACACGAACGAACGAAGCCCAACCCTCAAAGGGCTTTAGATCAGAAATAAATGAGGAATTTGAAAACAAAGTTTTCACTCTACAAATTTCGATCAAACCTTGAAATAACAGGAAGGAATTTCCCGTTTCTGCTGTGACCAGTTTTATGTACATGTTTTGTTGGTCCATTAATGTCTGTTATATCATCTGCAGGTGTTTCTTTTCATGAATAGATTTATTTCAAATCGTTTGCTGTAAAATTAAATTACCGTCTCTGACTGTTATAATTTTATACATGCTTATTCAATGCATAACAACCTGGAATAAAGACCCAATCACGCTTGGAAAACATCAGCGAGGCCTAAACAATTGTAAAAAAGAAGGAAATTTTACTTCAAATCAAACTTACTATGCAAAGGGGTCCGTTGATGCCTGTTTCGGAAAATAGTCATTTTTCGAAATTTTGGTATATACTAATGACCGAGACAGATTTTTAATAGATTTACAAGGATTGGGAATAAGGTATATGGATTGAAATAAAGATTATACAAATATCTTTAAGGTTACAAAAGCTGACAATGGAAGGGTCCACTGTGCCCAAAAGGTCAGTCTGATATATCAAAAGCTGACAACGGAAGGGTCCACTGTCCACTTAAGGTTTCTTATTAGTACTCTTCATCCTCTTCTTCCGCATCGGCTGAGTCGACACCAACCTCCTCGTAATCCTTCTCCAAGGCTGCCAGATCT